AAAAAACGTCACAGTATAGTAAGGAATAAAAATGGTAAAAAACGACATAGTATAGTAAGGCATAAAAATGGCAAAAAACGTCATAGTATACTAAGGCAAAAAATGTCATAGTATAGTAAGGAATAAAAATGGTAAAAAACGTCACAGTATAGTATGGCAAAAAACGTCATAGTATAGTAAGGCATAAAAATGGCAAAAAAAACATCATTGTATAGTAAGGCATAAAAATGGCAAAAAACGTCATAGTATAGTAAGGCATAAAAATGGCAAAAAAATAAAAATGGCAAAAAACGTCATAGTATAGTTAGGCATAAAAATGGCAAAAAAAACGTCATAGTATAGTATGGCATAAAAATGGCAAAAAACGTCACAGAATATTATGGCAAAAAATTATATAGTATAGTAAGGCATGAAAATGGCAAAAAATGTCGTTGTATAGTTAGGCATAAAGATGTCATAGTATGGTAAGTCATAGAAAAGTCATTATATAGTAACGCATAAAAATTTAATAATATAGCAACGCATAAAAACATCATAGTATAGTAAGGCATAAAAACGGCATAGCATAGTAAGGCATTAGAGTCGCCAGTTAACCTAATATTCATTTTCTTGGATTGCGGGAGGAAACCGGAGAGAACCCATGCAGGCATAAGGAGAGAACATGCAAACTCCAAACAGAAAGACCCCAGGCGGGGCGCTAGGACCGTGAGGCAGAAAGAGAGAGTACTTCTTTCCAGACAAGAAACTCTTAGTTGTGGTTCTCTGTCTGAGCTGGGCGGGTTTCATAGGACGCTCCGGACATTCAGCATCTGGAGCTTTATGTGCACACGCTGTTAAAGAGCTAGCAAGCTTTTTACTTCTGCGGGGCAAGGAGACGGAGAGGAGGGACAAAGTACCTGCCTGTCACCGGAGATCATAATGAAGAAAACCAGGGAAGTTATCCTGAAGGACTTGTCTGATTGGGAGGAAAACTTGATTGGAATGTAAACACGGACCATCGATCTCTAATCAGGAGGTAATATATTAGATTTAGTGGTTTGTTTGGTAATTGTAATTGTACACATTCTTGTATAGAGAGTGTAAAAGTTCCCCCCTTTCCCCTTGCCTGTCTTTACTTTGATGCCAGTTTGTGACTCATCACTACTGTTGCATTCAGAAGTTTTACATATATATATATATATATATATATATATTATTATTATTATTATTTTTATGGGCAGATATAAGCTGATTCAGTCCAAACATTTTGGTCAAATGATGGTCAAAAATTCAATGATGCATGTCTCTATGAGGTTTCCTTACAGTCTCTGGTCTTAAACATCCCCTCAGACAGTTTGTTAGAGGGAGTCCTCCACTTCAGTAGTATGTAGTTTCCCTCTTACATGCTTACAATATCTGTGAAAAGATTTATTTGCCTTAAAATTCTTTCCGCAAAATTGCATCCCAGTGTCCAGGCTCCAAGTTAGTGCTGCAGTCCAAAAAACCATTGCTCTCCCTCCATCTCGCCTCTGGTTATATGTTATTACTTTTGCACAGGGACATCTTCTGGATCATTTTCCTGTGGTTTTCATCAGAATGAGCCTCTGAACCCTTAGGAAGAGCTGTGTTTTTGGTTTAGAGCCTGAAAATTCTGTCTTAAGAATCAAATAATGTGTTTCAACACCAAAACAGGCTCAGAAGATGCACTTATTGCATGGTTTAACATCCCAAAATCACTTAGGTTACATCTCTCATACCACAGCCTGGTTAATAGCAGTTGATATTTTGTCTTTTTTATTGTTTTAAACTACAGGTTTATGTCATAATTTGCCACTCCTTCATCAGCCAATTTACCACTTGAGATCTTCTGTAGCTGGTGTTAACTGTCTGCCACAGCTGTCATGTATCTAACATGTCAACATGGAAGAGAATTTGTACCTTCCCTGCTTACAGAAGCTCCTTTTTGTAACTCTACCTCCTTTGTAGTGTTGTATGAGATGGCACATAGGTGTGTGGACAGGCCCCACCCTGTCTTTTGTTAGGAATAATGCTCTGTTTTGCTGCCATGTCTCAACTTGCTTTTTTTTTTTCACTTTTTACACACCTGCTCTCTTCGTGCCATGAGTGCCTCTGGGTCCACAGCCTTTAAAGGGGATCAAGTATCTCCTTGTTGCTGCTAATCTGCCCTGAAAGCCCCACGTACACTGTGAAGTAGTTAATGTTTGATGGAAAACAACTTCATACCTCTGAGCTTTGACAAATATTTGACTGGAGGGCTTTTATTGTACCCTCCCAACCTCTTATTCACCTATTCAGTCTACTCTAATGCAAAATCTCTATCTTGTGGATCATTTGAAGGAAACAAAATCCTGGTGTTTTTTTTTTTGTGTTTCAAGTAATCACAAACTGTGTGTCTTTTCCCTCTAGACCACTGACCACACAACTTTGTTCTGGCTTTACAGTTATGTCTAAGGCCACTTTGTTTCCTGTATGATTGAACTTTTCCTGTGACTTTTTGTACCAAACACACTTTAAAATGCATGTTTGTTTCCGCCAGACTGAAATCCTATTTTTGTGGTAATCTATATTATAGGAACAAGAGGTTCATTGTTGCCTCACCACACCAGAAGAAACTCAGGCCTGCATTGCAACATTAGATTTTGCAAGCTGACCTCACTTGCATAGGCGCTGTGATTTACAATCAACAATAAACTGTGAGAGAGTCCAGATTTACAAGGGATTAGAGTTTGTGTGCTTGTCAGACAGCTTGTTTGGATATATTTTCCACTGTTGATTTCTTGAAAAACATGTAGGAATTCATGCAATCTCTCAAGGATAAGTTGGTAAGCTGTTCCTCTCACGTGTGTGATTATTTTCTGTGTCGTTGCAGTGTTTTCCGTCACCAGGATGACGCCACATGAGAGCTCCCTCCTGACTCACCTGCTCCTGCTCCTCCAGCTCTTCCTCCCCCTCACCCTGTCCTTTCTGCACCCTCCTCACCCCCCACCGGTCCACGTCCCCACACTAGTACCTCACACACCGAGGCCTCTCACCCGCTCCCACTTCAGCGCTCAGACTCAGCTGGACTTCACCACTCACTGCAACTCCAGTTGCTTTCACAGAGGAGAGCAGGATGAGCAGCTGACTGAGAAACTGGCTTTCGAGACGCTGTACGCTGACGGCTCTCGCACTCTCACTACTGTAGATGTGGAGGGTGAGGATGAGTTTGAGAGTGATGACCGTCTCTTTGCTCACCCTTCACCCAGGAGAGGGCCCAGAGTGAAGCCCAGACACAAGCGTGTGAGGCGGCAGATCTATGGAGCAGACGGCCGTTTTAACATTCAGGGCGACAACTTCCTGTTGGATTACCCTTTCTCCACAGCCGTGCGGATCTCCACCGGCTGCACCGGCGTTCTTGTGTCTCAGCAGCACGTCCTCACAGCTGCCCACTGTGTGCATGACGGGAAGGATTATGTGAAGGGGGCGAGGAAGCTCAGGGTGGGCTTCCTGATCCCTCCATCTATCAATGGCACAAAAGCCAACCTCATTTCGGCCAAGAAGCCTCTGGTCCGCTGGGTGAGGGTGAAACGTACACGTGTACCAAAGGGCTGGATCCAGGGCCCTCAGGAGGTCAGCATGGACTTTGATTATGCCCTGCTGGAGCTGCGGTGGCCTCACCGACGTCCCTTCATGCGTCTCTCTGTGGCTCCCTCCTCTGATGACCTGGCAGGGAATCGCATCCACTTCTCTGGTTTTGATAGCGACAGACCTGGGGAGCTGGTGTACAGATTTTGTCCTGTGGAAGAAGAGTCCAGTGACCTGATATACCAGCACTGTGATGCCCGACCGGGAGCCAGCGGCTCTGGAGTTTATGGAAGAGTATGGGACAACAGTTTAGAGCGCTGGGAAAGGAAGGTCATCGGCATTTTCTCTGGACACCAGTGGCTGGAGATAGATGGAGAGAACCGGGATTACAATGTGGCTGTGCGCATCACTCCTCTGAAGTTTGCTCAAATCTGTTACTGGGTGCACGGTAACCGGCTGGACTGTGTCCAGGACTGAGAGGGATAGGAGTAGGACAAAAGGAGGTTTTGAAAGCAGAGCAAGAAAAACACAAGAAAGCACTGCAAAAATAGAGTGAAACGTCTTTATTTCACTTAAAGAAAGAAGAGTGAAACTGGATTAAATCCATACAAAATATCATCCTTCTGTGGTAGACCAGGAAAGCAGATCTACTCAGTTACTTTCTGATCTAGTTCCCCTTCATCGAGTTATTCCTCTTGTGTGTTTAATTAGCTGTCTGTAATCTCTGAGCCTATTAAACAATCTGCCTGTGAGATCATCACCACGGCATCTTTTAATAAGTTTTTACTCACAGTCAGTGTTTCCACAGTATTAACATAAACCACTTTTTACAAGAGAGAGAAAAAAAAAGGTTTTCCTTGTGTGTGTGGTGTGTGTCAGTAACAGCACATTATTTTCCTACTGTGGATTATCTACTGAGGACATTTTTCTTTCTTTTCATCTTTTCTCTACTTTTTAGGGGAAATGGTTTGGTATTTTGATAGCTCCTCATGGATCATTAAGCTTCATCTGCCACGATCCACATTCTCCTAGATACACAGCTCTAGAGTGCACAGAATAAAGAACTGACAATAGTTAACGGACACCACTGATGCCTAACATTTCAGCAGACAGCTTGCTCTTCACAGTGTGGACTGGAGAGACAGAGTGTTAATTTTATTTTTTAAAAGAATGCTTGATATATTTTAATAAACAGAGATTTATAAGTGCTTGTGTCTTTGTGTCTGGTTTGAGGAGTGGTGTTGGGGTGACCTCCTGTGGTCATAATGATACTGCAGCATCAATGGACCTGAACAGCAGTGATGTGATTCACCTTGGTTTAAACTGAATTTAGAGCTGAATTAATTGATTAGTCAATTGACAAGAAATGAATCTGCAAAAATTTGTCATTTTTTCACCTAAGAATTACCTGGTTCCTGTAAATATTGTCATTTCAGCTACCATGATTGTAAACTGTCCATCTTTGGGCTTTAAACAGTTCATTGGACAAATGAAATGTTCAAATATTTCAACTTGGAATTTAGGACATTTTATAGACCAAACAATGAAAATTATTAATTATAGCCCTAACTGAATTGGATGAGCACATTTGTTATTGAACCATTTGTGAATTAAGGTTCTGAAAATGTAAAAGTTTACAATTAGAACAATCCACCATCACCACCACCGTTATATTTAAATGACAATCTGATGTGTGACAGATGACCAAAACCTGAAATTAAAGAGTATGTCAACAGCTAGTGTTTTTACAAAGCAGAGGTAAAAAAAAAAAAAAAAGTGGGAAAAAAAAAAAAAGTGGGAAAAAAAAAGAGCAGAACAAGTCAGTAGTTTAGTGCTTTTTATTAGAGATAAGGAGACGATACAAAACATCCACCATTCAATATCAGTCTTAACTCTGACCGCCGGTCTTTCATATACACATCGCTCCCCATCAGACCTTCATCATAACACCAATGTTTTTAAATTGAGGAGATCCTGGTTTTAACACGTACAAGGAATGTTCTGTTTACTACATCAAATGCCATAGTTTTCTGACCCAGAACTGGAAATAAAAAGGAATCACTCAAGTTTTGGAATTTGCATGTTCAAGAAGAAAAAACAATGGAATAACAAAACAAAACAAAAAAAAAAAAAAAAAGGAAAAAAAAGAAGAAAAATATATATATTTAACCGTGTTCCCCCAGAGAAAGTTTTGATACATCTTGTGCAATCAAGAGTGAATTAGTTCATACTACACCTAGTCTCAACTACACACACTTACAAAACTTAATTAGAAGTTTGGCAAAAAAAAAAAAAAAAAAATGTAGTTGGAACGATTATTTGTCAGGATTCAGTGGTTGGAAAACTAAAGGTTGTTGCCTGTCCCTTTCTCTGCAATTTTTCAAATGGAACCCAGAAAGAAGAAAATCCTGTCCTTAAGCATGAACAATATGTGTATTTATCATCATCATCCTCCTTCCTCAGTTGTATCTTATGTTTTTCCTTTGTGTGTGTTTTGTTCATATCCTTTATGTTGCTTGAACTGGAATGACAGTCTGAATTTGTGGAATTTCTTTTTTTTTTCTCTGTAACTGTCACTTGACCCCAAACCCACCCACAATATCCCTCCCCAAGAAAGTCCCGCAAATGGTGCTGGTTCTGCTTTTGCCCTTCTCCAAACCACACTGGAATGAACAGCTAAACCCAACAGATGTGTCTGAAAGGCCTCGATCGAAGCCGTAGGAGTGGGGGTAATATTTATATAGGGGATCCTTCCAGGCTGACTACTGATGAGCCACCAAGCTTTTCTGCCAGGGTGTGCCGGTCTTTGAGGTCATCCAAACCGTTCACCTGCCACTCGTGCTTAATACCTGAGAGGGGTGGGGGAGACAAAGACAGCAGTCTGAATTACACACTGATAAGAGTTTTGTCTATATAGACCATCAGGTAAGCTTAAAAAAAAAAAAGAAAAAAAAGTGCATTTTCCAAAATGAGCAAGCCTTTTCAGGTACATGTCTATTGACCAAAATGTTGTTTAATGTTAAATGGCCGATATGGATGAAAATGACAATGTATATCACCATATAGTACATTTTCTGGAAAATCAAGCAAGAGACTATTTATGGATAAAATATTTGGCTCATCCAGCAAATAGTATCTTACGTATAAAGGCACTTAATTCATGTCAATGCAAAATTCCTGTAATGTTTTGTAGAAATGGGAGAATGTTAAATTTTCATTCTTAACACTTTCTGGTGAAGAACAGCATTAGCAGTGAGACAAATGAGAAGCACAAGTGCAGCTTGAAAGCTTGTAGGTCCCACTTGGTCAAAATTAACAATTACTTAATGGGATGTGGCCACTGCCAACAGGCTGACTAGCAGCAAGAGATGTACATGTATAATAGAGACAAACAGTCAAGAAAAATCATTCTGACTACTTTGTAATTTGCAGACATAGGGCCTGATTTACTAAAGCTTTGCGTGCATAAAAACGTGCGCAAACGCGACAGCACGCGCAAACACATTCTGATGCAGATCTACCACCCGGGCGCACCGAGTATTGCGCCTGTCAGTCGGGCAAAATAACATGCGCTATCCATTTTGCGTTTCTGCCTTCATAAATATGCAATATAGGCGTGCCTGCCAGAACGCGATGAACGTGATTTACCAAACCTGAAACTAATTGCGCTGATTATTTTTGCGTCTATATTTAGCACGTTTGAAAGTCAAGTCTTAGGCTACCTGGCACAGCTGTGCGCACAGATGGCTGTGGTCATTGTTGCAAGGAGGCGGCGTAGGCACGACAGGCAACGGAGAGAACGCATCTTTTCTGTTCGTGTCACTCTTTTTGGAATGGCAGAAAAAAAAATAATCGAGACATGTCGGTTATCCGGCGATGCCATTTTGGAGCTTCTCCGTGAAGTAGGAGCTGATTTGGATCCAGTCACAAGGAGGAGTCATGCAGTGCCTGCTATGAAACTCAGAAATGTGCTTGTTTGACTCTTGTACCAGCACCTCCAATTCCGTGGCTTCAAATTTGCTTTTGCGCTTCCGTTGGGTCTGCTCGTTTGCATTCGCCATGGTGAACACCCTTAACTCGCGCAAAGTCCTCATTTAAATAGGGTGGGCTCAATCACTTTTGCACCTGTAGTCAATTGCGCTGTTAATCTAAGTAAATCACCCGCAAGCCCCAAACAGGCAGCGCGTGCAATCTATCCGTGTGCGCATGCAATTTAGCGCTCTTTATTTGGGATCTTAGTAAATCAGGCCCATAATGTTTAGAATGAGATATTATGAGATTAGGATATTTAAAATAAGTTAAAAGAATAAAAATGATTCCCCATTAATACTAATATCTTTCCTAGTAATCATTTAAATTCTTACCAAAAAAAAGTACAAAACGAAACAATAAATAAACTCTACTGAAACATAGGTGGATTAGTTCAGGTTTAGAGTTGTATTGAGCATTTTGAAGTTAATGTATAAGAGCAGAATAACGTTTACGCTACGCTATTAGACTGAGGATGGTTAAGCAAAATGTTATGATTATGCATTTAGTGATTTTAAAAAAAACAGTATTCATTTTTTTGCCCACTTGGGGGCAGAAGAATAAACTGTTTACACAACACAGACATTTACCATCCCATTAGGTTGATATAATAATGGCCTGTTACACGTCCAAGAGATATGAAGCGACATTTAAGTTAATATGAAGCCATTTGTCTAACCACCTGATAAATATGAGTCTCTCATTTTAGCTCAGAGTTGATAAATCTTGAGGAAAATGTCTAGCTCTTTAGCTGCTAAATGCTCTACTATGTTCACAAGCTGGTTTTCAACTTTACCTGCCAGACAATGTACAGTAGATTAATCAGATTTTTCACCTCACTATGAGAGCAGTGAGAGTGAACAAAACAATAAGTGGCAGGGTGTAAAGCCAAAACAATAAGCTGAAAGACGCCTAGATGCTAGTTGAGGGGAAGTGCATAGTCAGGTGTTCATTTTCTGTGGGGTTGTCACTAACCACATTTGACCCAGTGTCAATACAAGGACAATTGATTAGGGCAGCTTTAAGTCTGACTCACCTTCAAATTTCCTCTTGATAGCATCTTTTGAGCTGGCATAGATCATCTTGCTCTTCAAGGGGGCACTATCTGGAGCCCTGTGAGAGGGGAAAAAAATATTAAAGCCAAATGTTGTCTTAATGAAGATCATAAACCCTATAATGTGTGATAATGGCTGCACTCACCAGAAGATGAAGACCAGGTCCTCCTTCTTTGTTTCTTTGGTCTCATAGGTTGCGTCATACAGGGCGTAGCGGCAGTCGTCTGGGGGCAGCATCTTCACAAAGTGCTGGTATGGATCCTGGACTGTGGTTCCCAAGTCACCCAGCAGGATCTCTTTGCCATCATCCAGAACGATGTTCTTGAGGTCTTTGCTCAGACAGAACAGAATGGCCTTCTTCCTCTTCCTCTTCTCATCCTCGTTTGCCTGAGCCTTGCGCACCTTCATGTCATTAAAGACTGCGATAACTTCATCGGTCACTTTCACACCGGAGGCCTGTGGAGAGAACGGTATGTTGACTCAGAGTCCAATATATTCATAGTTTAACATGGCAGCTGCCATTACTGCAAATATAGTAGTAGAGTATACTACCCACCATAACCCTAACAATAAAAAACAAATGTATTTGTAATGACTTTTTGATCTAGTAGAAAATGCATTGCTATAACTTGGAATGCTTTTCCCTATCTTTGGACTAATTTGGGAAATATAATCATGATCCAAGGATAAAATGTTTAAAATGTAAATGAACACTTAATGATGTTAAGTTCCAATGTAGAGTTGAAAGATTGGTTGATTAATCAATAGGTGCTGGTTAATTTTTTTAATCCATTTTGATTATCAATCATTTTAAGTCAAAGTCTTGGCATCAAAAATTCACCAGTTGCAGCTTTTCAAATGTGAGTTAGGGCTACAACTACCGTTTACTTTCATTACTGATTAATCTTCCAATTATGTTTTCAATTAATAGATTCATTGTTTCATCTATAAAATGACAGACTAGAGAAAAATGCCTGTTAAAATTGGTGACCAAGGGGACAGCTTAACATGTATAGTTTTGTCTCGATCAACAGTTCAAAAGATATGTTTTAATATCATGAATGAATAAAAGAATCATATCCTCAATATTTGAGAAGCTAGAGAGTGAATGTGACATTTTCCTTTAAAAAACAAAAAACAAAAAACAAGTATTTAATTATCAAAATAGTTGCCAATTAGTTTTCTCCTGATCAACTTATCTTTCCAGCTCTAATGTTTAACTTTGCTGGTGTTCTTATTCATCCATCTTTGGTTTTTAAACTGTTGGACAAAACAAACACTTCAAATATGGCAACTTGGGCTTTAGGAAATTGTTACAGGTATTTATTGCTATTTTCAGACCATTGATGGACCAAATGATTAATCTAAAAAATAAAAAATAAAAAATCGACAGACTAACTGATAAAGAAAATAACTGGTAGTTGCAGCTCTACTCTACGAAACAAGACAGCACTTGCCATCATTTTCCTACAGGCCAGAAGTGAGGACACGAGTACAGTAAATACAGACATTATGAAAATGAAGAGGGTCTGAGAGGGTGGCATGTGACTATCACACACACAGCAAGAATGCTTCTACAAGGACAACTGATAAAAAGGTTTGAAACCAAAAAGGTGTGGCCGTGACAAGCTGTTGGTCATGGTGTTAAAAATTGTGTAATGCAATCTGAAAATTATTAACTGCCAGCACAGTTGGTGCAAATGAAATCAACAATGATGATTCAGTCACTACAGCCTTTTAATTCCATTTATTATGTATGAGATCAGACAGTAAGAGTACCAAAGGAAAGAAATAAAAAATATGTGCCTAGTGTCACTTGCTCAAAGTCCATCTGTCACTGGGGCAGGACCAGTAGGTATAAAACATTATATGAGTTCTCTCTGCAAGCAGAGGGAGAAGCCATGTATCTCTGCCATAAAGATGACCATGTGGGTGAGGGTGTGGTCCGGAATTAAGCGTTTCAGAGCAGGGTTCAGTCACAGACAATGGCGCTTCTGTTGAAATATAGAATACAAGTCACATCGCCAAGTCACAGCTGCTCCATAAACTCACTCAGTCAGGTCTTCTGACTCTGTTTAAGGCAATCCATCACAGGAAAATGCAGTCTCATGAGAAGATGGAAGAAAACTGCTACCTACCAGCAATGTGTCAATGGAAAAAAGACAACAATGAAAAGGAAATAATGGGGCAGGAAAGACGGAAAGGGAACCCAACTGCCAAGCAGAACGGGCACAGTCTGTTTGCTCAGGGAGTAAAAGGCCTGTGTGAGATAACAGTGACTTTTAGAATAATAATTAACCAGCAAACAATCTTTAATCACGTCCTTAATCCACCCATCAATAGAATAAGCATTATACTCTTATTTTTCATGTTCCTTGCTTTTTCCAAAAATATTTACCAAGCTAACAAATATCAATATTCTTTCCATACTTGACACGATACATTTGTCTCACTGCTGTCTTATGGCCATATACTTTGTATTTCTCTTTTTTTTGTACCCAAACATGATTTACAACTGTTGAGTCAATCAAGTTCTTTTATGTTTCCACTTCTTTGCTTTGCCACAATTTGCCATGGGATTGTTATATTTTGTTTATTTATAAAGGCAGGCTACTATCACCATGGTGACCACTAAGCTCTCACCTCATCTAATATGAACCATGGATACTTTTCTTTACAGACGTCAACGTTAAAGTGGCTCAATACAAATCTAGTCACAGTCCAAGTCTTTAATTCCCTTACACGGAGGAACAGTTAAGATTATAGGCCTCACAAGCTATTATCATAAGGGGCATTTTCACTACCAACCACAGGCCTAACGCCTTTGTATTCAAACTCTTAAAAAAACACTGGATAGGGAAAGGGGAACTGTTCAGCAGGCAGATTTAGTTGATGTCAGGTTGTTAATGGTGCAGACTCAGCAATGAAAGACAATAGACATCACTGCTGGATGTTTAAAAAAAACTTGATGTAGAAGTTATACTACGGATATATGATCATATGAGTTAATTTTACGTGTTGTTTTAATGCCAAAAATAACGCATATTCTGCCATATCCGGTATCTCTATGCTTCACTTGTGTATGATGACTGTGTTTCAATGAATTGAGATATCCGGTAAATATTTCCTCTTGGTACTGTGCAGTAGTCTAATCGCGTGACGGGCGTTCAGGGTGTATAAACGGCTGTACAAATTAGATGCGCAACTAAAAAGATGCGCAGCACCGACCACGAAGATCCAGAGACAGCGGCCCGCTAGCTTTAGCTAACGAATCCAACACTGCCAAACGGGCGTTACATAATGGTGATAATTCTGTCATATTTGTCGCTACATGTGCGCAGATACATGGCAAAATTATCACAGTGCAAATGACAGTAAATGATATCCGAGTGCAGATCCATTATAATACGGCACCAAACAAAATGGTCTTTGCACCAAATTCAGGGTGGGGCCATGAATGCAGCACACGCACATGTGTACGCTAGCTTGCTATATAAGGCAAAACTCTGCTCAAACCGATTGTTCGTCTGTCAATTCACACATTTACTGCCACAACGCAACTCGACCATAAACCTACATTTTGCTAATTTAGTATCACTATGGGCTAAAACTTACTCGACTTAAAGCACGCAGTCAACCACAGTCTAAAATGCTGTTAGCGAGGAAGCCGCGTACAGACAAAGAACCAGGAAATCACAGCTAGCGCCAGCCATAATGGGTGTCATTTTCTGTCTTTGCTAACGTAGCTAGTTCAGCTAACAATACCATTAGCTAGACGGCCCCGAGTCGCTGCTGCACCTGCCAGCGTCGCTCCTCCGTGGAAGGACCGACGAGCTCAGGTGAAATAACAGAAACATGATGCAGTTCAAACACTGGACCCGCGTCATGACAACGATCTAACGCAGGCAGGGCCTTTTGTAAAGCGGCTTTATGTCGGTGAAACACGGACAGATGAACGAAATGGCGCCAGTTGTTTGGGATCGTCAGTCGTTTATCTGGCCTCTTATCACAATATTGAGAAAAAAATACCGCACTGTACATTCGCTGAATGTGAGGCGTATGACCTGCGGCTTCGTCGAGCTCTCTGAAAGCATTACTAGCTTTCCAGCTTCTCGCACAGCGGAGAGGCTCACCACCTAGCCCCGGTGCTAGCAGCTTCTCCTGCGGCACAGATATGTCTTGCTATGTTTGATGCTAAAACCAATACCGTAATCCACAAAATAACATAAATTGACAATGAAGCTCCCTATATATTGAAATCAAGTACATGAGACGCAGTGGAACCAGCGAGAAGACATAAAGTGCGATTAAAAAAAAAAAAAAAAAAAAAAAGGCGTTAAACCTACCATTGCTGTGGATTAGACTTGTCAGCGTCTGGGTAGAAACTGAATGGACTGTGATGGTCAACTGCCGCTCGCGCTCACACACTGGATACGCAACGTGAACGCGCCTATAGGCGCGATCCTGCTAGAGCAAGGTACACGAGCGGGAGCGCCCATTTGCAAATCACGAGCATCGGGATGTTTTTATTTGCTTGTTGGTGTTTACAGTTGATTAATGCTTTTAATCTGTGAATGTAATCTAATTAATAATTAGCTTCAGAACAGTGTTTTAAATACACAGATTAAACAGGTAATACAAATAATTTTCCGAGGTAGATCTTAACATATTATTGACCACTGTTAAACGTCACACCAATTGCCACCAGTTTGAGGGGATTAGTATTTCACTCATAATTTATTTGTCTTTTTTACTTCTTATTTTCCCAGTGATATTGGCAGTATTTATTATTTTATTGTTACAGTATGTGTTGAGAAATCAAACATACTAAACGAGTAGCGGAGAGCATTATGGGAATATATGTTTGTGTAATAGCTATTTGACTAAACCTACAAATCCCTGGTGATATCAGATATACTATATTATAAAAGTATTTAACAGTGCTTTAGTGCTTGATGTACAATGGAATTACGAACATTATGGTTGAAGCTATATTCTTTTTTTATTGTAACCTATTTTAAAAACAGGATAAATATATATATATATCCAATAGGCTATGTATGTGGGTTTCATTGTGAACAGTGTTGTAATTTGAGAATCGGTTCAAATACGTTCTATTAATTATTACACCAGTGGCGTGAGGAGTGATTAATAAGTAAAGCGGGTGTGCTGCTGCTTTGACCGACATTCAGAAGCCTGCTCTGCGCAAAGCAGTTTCGGGGTGGGAGGAAATTCTCCGCCATTCATCCCCGCCCTCCCTGCCTCCTCCTCTCCCCCCTGCCCTCCGTGCGGTTCTTGTTCAACTCACTTCCAAATATGGAAGTGAACGGCAAGCGGCGGCGGCGGCCAGTGCACGCGCCTCGCTCCCAGCGCAAGGAGGGGTCGGGCCGCGACGCTGATCACCATATAAGGAAACAAGGGACACGAAATTCGCTATAGCAGATTTTTAAACGGCAACGCATCGAGAGAGAGAGGAGAGAGAAGACACAGAGAGGTCTGTGAGGATGAGAGGCAGCGGTGCTTCAGGCGGTGGGAGGAGAGGAGCGGGACCAGAACGACACATCAAGCGGGGAGCTGAATCCACACATTTCTACAGAGGATAACATGACGCTTTAATAGACACACCTGAGGTCGATTCATACCAAGGCAGAGCTGTTTATTTCATTATTTTATTTTATTGTCTGGAGGACACCTAAAGCCTCTTGCACCACAATCCATTGTCACAACCCTACATTTAGTCTATAGATGTATAACATGTCATGCCAGTCTGCAATCACATAGAAAAATATGTTGTATGTATGTATGAACTAACATTACTGTCTACAACATGTGAGAAATCTTATACTGAAAAGTAACCAGCTTCCAAGTAAAGGTAGTGGTGTTAAAAGTACAATTTTGTGGCTGCACATTTACACTGAAAGACAATCTCTAAATGAAATGGAAGACTGACATAATTCGTATTTTTGGAAAATGAATGATGGTTTTGATCACTGCTTTCTCACACAAAGTGTCTCTAGTGGTGAACCTGCTGGTGATTCTGTGTGATTCCAGACCTCAAAAAAGCCTATGTCCTCCTCTAGTTTAACACAACCTTTATATGACTTAAAGTTTCATCCCTGGTGCCACTTTATGTAAGTAAAAACAGTTGAATGAATAGATTGAAAGGATGCACTGACAGTTTCAAGCGTTTATTCTTTATAAAACAGCATTTCTCAAGTCAAGGCCACCATACCCCTGCAAGAGATGATTACAATAGCCGTTGCTCCAATATAGCATGCATTTATTTACTTTTGGAATGAACACTGTGCAAAAAGCACCAAAGAGAGAGAAGGGTAAGTGCAATAGCATGTGCTTGTAAAACATCTTGAAGTTTCCTTCTCTTGTGGAAAAGGGACATGGAATGTGCAAAATGATGGTCAAAAACCATGGACTGAGAATTTCCAAGTCTCTCATCCTCCACATTTGTATGGTCACTTTTGGCCCTTTATTCTTCTATAGTAACATGGAATTACCGAGTGATTAAAGCACTGTCAATCAGCTTTTGTCTCCACTCTGTATTCGAGCACAGAAAATATATTAGCTGTTGAAGATCACTATGTAGAATAGCATGACAGTCAACAGGATTCTACTTTTGGTCTCAGATCACACAATCGTGTGGGATTTTCAAAGACCTGTTTAACAATACTAAATATTTGCCATTCCACTTCTCTAATCCAATGTTTCTGAAAGAACCTGCATTTTATCATATTCAGAGATGTAGGGCATGGTTGCAAATAATCAGAGTCCTTTAATCCAATACCTGATTCATTCTGAGTTGGCCTGAGATGCCCTGCTTGGCCCCACAATGGAAAAATAAAACCTAATAAATCCACTGTGTACTCCACCTTTTTAATTCTCTCTATGGCTGATTTTTGAAAAATACCTTTGATTGATTGGTTAAATGGCTGCATGTAAACAAGCCCCTAGGAAACAAGTTGGTACAAATTTGTCATTTTTCCTTTCCTTAATATTATTTAATTTTCCTATCAGTCATTTGAAGCAAAGTTTTGACCCCAGCATTCAATGCTTTCAGGCTGGACTGATCACCATGTATAATCACTATTTTACCGAAAACAAGTTTTACTCTGACAAAGTTTTAACTGTGAAAAAGTTGTAATATCCCTTTTGCTTGAAGCAAGATCAACAATGTGAACTTTATATACTGCATCAGTAGTGTTGCTCACATACTAGTGTTTTTGCACAGGTTGCTAAAAAAATTACATCAGAAAATAATTTCTCAGATGCGAACATACTAACATGACAGCATGTTAGGGATTTTTGACAACAACCAAATTTGAAAATAATCCATCCAAGTGCTGTATACTTTTTGAAAACTGAGGTGCGGGTACAAAAAGCATAGGGGGAAAGGCGCACAGTCCCATTTACTGTAGGGCTCTACTGCTTGTTTCTTTCATATTTTGGTCTATTTGAATATTCTGCTTGTTATTTGTTCCATATGTGTTCGGCAATTGCAATGATTGAGAATTTTTTTTTTTGGCATTTCTAAACTTTTAATAAAACTCTTGTTTACAGGCTATATTTTAGCTTATATTTACTGATGTCTGAAGTGACAAGGCCAAAGTATAATTCCAACACAAGTGGTCTCTTTGGCTGACTGGTTGCTAGTTTTATTATGTTGGTCGGTCAACACCTTTAAGTATTACAAAAATCTCTTATCTTTGGAGTTGGAAAGTTTTGCAGAATATAAGTTCCTATATATAATTTATCTCAAAGAATCTATTATATAGTATCAAAATCTACAAAGTCTAACATGTTTCTGTCAAGGAATAAATGGCAAAGCACTTGAAACAACTGAACTCCCATTACATGCAGCTTCCAAAATCTGCTGGGCTAAATACAAAGTGCGTATCCTCTTCTTTCAATGTAGGTAATGCTAGTTTATATCAAATATAAAGCAAATCTACAAACTTAATGGAATGTTTAAGGCCAATAAGTAAAAAAAATATAGTGACAAAGAAATATGTATAAATGTATAAGCTTTAAAGCCATTTTTAAAGATATACTGCAAAAGCTTTGTTTGAAAAGCACCTGACTACCCCTGTCTGAACAATATACAGCCACATAAGATGTATTTAGCTGAGATAGAAAAAAAGTGTTTTTTTTGTTTAAAAGTAAACATTGACTTGTCCATTTAGACCAAATGTAAAATTGTAAAATGATGGCAGTATCAATTTTTGAAGTATGGATGAGAGGAACTGGGATGGTTTAATTCCCTTCCTCAATGAATCCAGTCACCTTTATATAAGTCTGGACTTTCATAGGCAGAGTAACGTGCATAATAAGAGATGCTGGTGAATTGGCATCATATTTGTACCTTGAGCCAATGTGGTTTAGCTGCACGTTTGTTCCAGTGAGTGGCATGATAAGGCTTTAGTGCTGACTGTGTGCTTGTGTTGTGTGCTGGTTGCATTGCATCGAGATTATGAAGGTTCAGAGGTCCTCTAACTGGATTTCTTCTTGTCACCAGTGCTTGTCCCTCTCGACTTGTTCAACACAACAGTGGCCTGAAAACACAAAAAAAAGAGAATTTGTTTGACTGCGTGTTGCGTGAAGTGCATGTTGCAACATTTGCTGACTTCAGTTTTTTTATGTTGTGGTTAATTAATTGAATCCTTGCACTCTCATCTGTCATGTTTTTAACCCTGCCAGGGTGTGGTAAATCAATCCAAACCACATATCTGGTTTTGTGTAAGTAATGAACCAGCCGCTAAGGGCTGTTAGGGCTCTTAGACTCTCTGTTGATGATCCAACTCATACATTAATAATTTTGTGTGTTTTATCTAATCAAAGCTCAATCAAAAAAAAAAAAACACTAACACACAATTCATTGACTAGATGTTATGTGAAAGGGAATTGTTAAATTCATTTCGAAATGGAAGTTAGAGCATCTATATTTTCAGCAATGTAATGTATTTTTACATAACACAGAACATTTTTCTGGCAGCCTTCAAATGTGGGAACATCTACAGGCACAAGGCAAAACCACGTTTGAACTCGATGGCTCCTCCTACAGAATGGTACCGACCGGAGTAGCGGATGAAGGCCCATGTCAGCATGGCCACCATGACCACGCCCAGAGTACGTGTTTGAACTAGTTACCTGCCCAAATGTGTGGTGCATCAAGGGACTCAGATTGTGAACAAATAAGTTCATGGTTAACCTGTGATTTCAGGTAGCTATATGACTATTGGCATTTTTCTCTTGACACCAAATTCATTATTGACAAAAGATCAGATATGACCTGATCTAAGCCCAGGAACATTCTTCAGCTGTTTATAGAGTGCTGCAGGGATGATATATTTTGTAGGCCAACCTGGAAGTTAGCATCACACCATATGCTGTTTTTGTTGACCAGTTTTTGGCAGGTGTGTCAAACACTAGATTTCTTTTATTCTATGATTGTTGAATTGTGTTTGTTCTTCTTTCAAACATAATAGCACCCTCTAGTGGCTTTAATGTGTGCATGCATTGAAACAAATTTTACTGCAATGTCAAACTGAAAGCTGTGACACCCATACAGATAGAAAGACATCAGCTGACAAAAACTGGCCTCACCTGCTCCAGGACAACACCTGCAGCCTGGTCGATGGCTCCTCCTACAGAATGGTACCGACCAGAGTAGCGGATGAAGGCCCATGTCAGCATGGCCACCATGACCACGCCCAGAGTACAGTCACACACCAAGGCGAAGGTAGATAGGCCAACAAAGAGCAACACGCCTGACAGAACGTAGAGGAGGCACACCAGGACAAACAGCACTGCAGGTGTCCGGAAGGCGCTGAAGAGATTTTTTGACTTTTACAACAAAGAGAAAAAAGATGATGGTTAGGAACAATCCTGACATCATGTCATTGCAAAAAACACCCATGTGTATCAAGTACTTGTGTTTAAGATTCAGATGTTTAACTCTTAACCTTTAATAATTAAATATTATAAAGAAAATTGTAAATTAAATAGACGCAGTTTAAATGTTATGTTTTCAGAATAGTCCTTTACCTCATTGTGCTTGCTGAAAGACTGCCACATTTCCTCCAGCTCCTTTTCCAGCTGTGCTTGGTAACGATCACAAAACTCCTGTCCACCCATCTTCTTTGTGGACGAGAAGGCATGGAGAGCCTCTCGGAAGTAAAATTGATGCTTTTCCTCCAGAGAGTCAGGAGACACATAAGGCAGGTCTCCCCCACACACCTTAGAAAAGAAAAACAAAGAGAAAAGAGGGTTAAAGCAGGGAACACACATTATGACTTATGATGTGATTAGGATGTGGTGACTGATCGGACCAAGATGTACTAGGGTCTGTTGACAGTTTTGGCAGATAACATCATATAGCGTGATATAGAAAGATTCTAATCTCAGATCTTCAAATGAAGTTGCTGCAAGTTGTTCTCAAAAAGTTTTTTTTTTTTTTTTTTTTAAAACATGTTTGAGTTAGAGTTGAGTTTGATTTGTGTGTTGCCTGAGGAAGACATACTGATAAATAGGCAAAAGAAAAAGAATGGCAAGCAAATATGTTTGTGATGTGTACTAGACAACTGAAATGGAGGATCCCACCCAAACTCCCAAATTTTTTTTCCTCCTCTTTTTGGCCTTTTCAGCTCAAATGTCACAGCATATAAAAATGCAAATTGCTGGTTGCTGTCCATATTTCTTTTGGTTCAAGAACATTTGGTGTTATCGTGGAATTTACAGGGTTGTCCATCACCAGATCATTACTGATCTGTCATTCAGTGTGGTGTCTAGTATATTTACTCAGTTGAAAGATTTATGCCCGCTCCTGACAGACAAAAAAAATCTGGTGGAGACAATGTTTATGTGGTTTGTCCCAAGCTTTGAGAAAGAAAGATTGTACTCATTCCTTGTTAACATATTATGTTAAGATAATCCATCAATTCTATATTGATTAAAGAAGAAACAAACACATGCTTATGATGAGTAAAGAGTGTCTGATGCATCGTCTTTCACATCCAAGTGAACTCACCTTCTCCATGTTCTTGTAATACTGATCTTTGGCTGTTGCCACAGCTGCCAGGTTGTTGGCCTCTGCTGTAGCCTAGTGAGACAAACAGGGATATGTTAAATCAATCAATATTACTCCAGCTCCTAGTTGACAGCTTGAGCAGCTTGTTCACATTTATGTTAATCCTACACATACCATGAGCATAGTCTTTGGCTGTGGCAAGTCTTCTCCCTGGTAAATCTTGATGTAAGCCTGGTATGACAAAAATGAAACAATGTCAGATATAATGTAAAAAAAACTGATCAAAGGTCAGCAGGACTGACTGATTATACCTTGAAGAACTCAAGCAGGCCCATGCAGGTGACTTTGTTTCCATTTATTTCTTTCTCAGCCAGACGATCTGGATGCAGCAGTTTAGGAATCAGACTCGCCAGCTGTTCTTTGAAATCTGGGGCCACATCTGACACAGTAAATATAACAACAGTCAGAACAACACTCAGTGTATTTGACATTCTGCTAAATACCAAGCTTAAACAAAGTACAACGGCATGGAAAACGGGGGATTTTACCACTAAGTTGTCCCTGAAATGCAGGGCTGGTGGCAACCTTCAACCCAGGGTGTGGTAACAAGAAGCAGGAAATTTTGGTGAAGCATGAATGGATGTGCTCCCTCACTGTTTGCAGCTCCTCGTGTTGGGCCTCCTTAACCTTTGAAAAACAATACATAGCAAGATGAAATCCCAAACTCCGAACACAGAATTTAAGATAACTGTATGTGCAGTTCTTTATTTGTATTTAGCTGAAGTCCAAGTATATTAATCATACTCTGTCATATCAATAAGGCATCAGTGGTACCTGTAACCGTTTATCGAGGAATTCATTCCCTCCTTTAAACCCGTAGGTGTATTCATAGGGAAAGCTCCAATCCCTGATCAGAAACATCAAAGACTGTAGGAGGAATGGAGAGATGTTAAATAAAAAATTATGAAACAGAGAAACAAAAACAATCAGATACATGCCCATCATCAGCAAAAGGTTTCTCCTACCTGGAAGGGTTTCTGAAAGATTTCATCCATAGCAAGACGACCATACTCCGTGAACAGCTGTGAGGAGGAGGCAACCATTTTGCAAAATTAATAACGAGATGCAAAAATCCCCCCCAAAAAGCTTTAAGATCTTTATATTTCACATCATGTGTCTTAAAAATTAAGAGTAAATCATATGGCTGAAAATAAACGTACTCCTAGGTGGAAATTTTCAAACATTATTCACTAGCACATCAAAATACCTGCAGACATCATCACGTTAACTCTTGCTAATGTAAACAGACCTGTAGCTGCTGCAGATCGTCCTCTTGAATGTTCTGTGACAGATTGTAGATCTACAAAATAGAAACTAATTAAGGATACAGTACAAGAATATTGAGAACATGTTTAATCAGTGACAATCAGAGGAGACCAGTCACCTGCATTGAGCTGGTCATGGTGCTGAGGGCAAAGATGGTGGCACAGTCCTTCACGGTGGACTGATTATCAAATGCTCCTTGAGTGTCCATCAACACCACAGCCACCTACAGCAGCAGAGAGACAAAACATGCAACATGATGCCTTTGGTTTCAATATGAATGTTATACTCCTTTTTCTGTCTTTTTAACAGCTGTTTTTTAATAGGATATATCCTTCAGATTACAAACAATTAAAAAGTGAAAGAACAGGGTAAATTACAGGACTAATTATGGCTTATGTAGAGCTACAAATAGTGTATGGCAGTGTTACTACTACTACTTCTTCAACTGTAGCAAGAACAAACTATTCTCTTGAATAGGGTAGAACTAACGATTGTTTTCATTGTAAATCATTTTTCCAATTTATCAATTAATTGTTAAGTGTATAAAATATCAGAAAAATAATAGATACTAAAAACTATAGATAATAAAAACTTTGGATGAATTTCCTGGAACCCAAGGTAAAATCATCAAATTACTTGGAATAATCCAAAACAGATTAAATCTACAGTAACAAAAACAAAAAAAAGCAAATCCTCACATTTAAGAAGCTAGATCCAGAGAATGTTTGGCATTTTTTTGCTTGATCAAAACCTTAAATATAATTAATCAATTTTTCAAAATTATTGTTGATTAATATTCTGTGAAAATTCAAAGGGTAAAAATGTTAATAAGAGAATAGCAGCTGTATGCTGAAGGGAAAAAATTGTTAATGGTCTCATCAGGAACTTTTATAGAAATGTAATGATATAATCAACTATTAAATTCTTTTTCAGTAAAGAGTGCTTTGTCTGTTGACACACATAATACACAATACATAAATAAATAATTAAATAAAACGTTGGAGTACCTCTGTACCATCACTCTTTTCGACGAGGAAAACTTCACTCCACAGCTGGATGCCCGTTGTCTCTGGTTCCGAACCACCTCTCCAAGAAAATCCAGTCAGCGGCTCATCATCCTGACCCAGCCAGTCTTCATCCCCCTGCAGAGCACAAATTACACCTTCAAAACTTGTCAGGGGCAGGCTGAGTGTTTTCAGTGAAACTCAAGTGTATGTACATCTTGAGGCTTATTCAAATTTCATGTATTGTCATGTACTTCCAAGAATACAGCAGCAGCAGCAGCAGCAGGCATTTTACGCTGAACTGTAAATGGAAATTCCCATTGTTCTACATATTTTACAACACAAAAATATACATAATCCAGTGTAGACCTGTCAGGTCAGAATGATCTCCTCTGTTAGTTCTTTTATTTCACTGCATTTTTTAGTTGACAGAAAAATTAATGAGGTATCCCAAGTTCAGCCATTTCAGGAAAGATAACAGAGTTAAAATCGATGAGATTTATCAATTAGCAAAACACAGCAAATGTAATGCTAAGATTAAAGTTAGTTTAGAGTGAAGTTAGTTAAGAGGGCTTTCACACAGCCTCCACCCCTTAACAAAAGGTAATGATTCTTTCTCTTAATTCTCTGTTCAGTAAACTGGCTAGTTCACATGTTAAATCAGGGATGGCTATTCACGTTGTATGACTGCTTCACGCCAACCATGCACTATTAATCTTCCAGGTTCCTTTAACACAAGAGGGGGAATTAGTCAGTATCACCTGCCGTGACTTCCCCTAATCTCTTCTTATAATAGAATGTTATTCTTTAAATCATAACTCTATTAACAAAACAGTTGCAGATTAATTATCTGTTGATTAACTGGCTCATTTAAGCTCTAGTCATACATACATACATACATAACATTTCAGCATTAATTTTCGGTTTTGGCCTCTTGAGTAAGGTAGACAGATATAATGTATGGAGAAGTGAGACAAAGATCGTGTTACTGTTAAGATCATGAGACTCACCTTTCTGTACATGTAACGGAGCATGAAATCAAGCAGGAAGCTCTTTCCCTTTCTGAAGGCTCCAGCCACTGAAAGCACCACCACATGTTTGTCTCGGACCTCAGGAGCCAACAGAACCTTAGCCAAAGCCTCCGTGTTCAACTCAAAGGAGTGATCCTCCTTACACACTGTGACAATCTGAACTGCGCCTGGTTCACCCCTCATCCTTCAGAGGTAATAGTCGCTGTGGAAATCAAACACAAAAACACCAGGTTGATATTAGTACTGGGGCAATTTTAGAGTTGTAACTAATTTATTTGTACTACTTGGTTTATCTGTGGATTCATTATGTAGTCAATAACTGACTAAAGTGACAATTAAAAGTCCCCAAACAAATACTAATTTACAATGATAGAAAAGTAAAGTAGTAATAGTAGTAATAGTGAATCCTTGACATTTCGTCTTGATAAATCACTAACAATTAATTGGTTATAAAATTAAAAGAAAAAGTTCAGCACTAAATGATTCCCCTAAACGTCCCTTCTAGTCTGCAATAGAGAATTATTCAATTCAAATTTTGCCAATCGCTTAAATACTTACTGATATTTACCAAACACAACAAAGGTGCTTGCTTTTCTGTATTTAAAGTTATCATACAAAGTTTTGTTATTACATTATAAGAACTTTTTCTTCTTTCATTTTTTGTGTTAGCTGGTCACGAGCTATTTGAAGACATAATAGAGTTATTAATTATTAAACTAATGAAAAATATTAATTCTGATCAACTGTGACACATGGAATTAGGGTTGCAACTAAAAATGATTTTCATTATTGATTACTATGCCAATAATGTTCTTGATTAATTGTTTTGTCTATAAAATGTCAGAAAGAAATTCCTGTTACAATTTCCCACAGCACAAGGTGACGCCTTCAGATGTCTTGTTTTGTCTGACCAACAGTCCAAAACTGAAAGATATACAGTTTACAATCATATAGGGCAAAGAAAATAATCAAATCCTCACATTTGAGATGGTGTAATCAGCAAATGTTTGGCATTGTTTTTGCCTTTTTTGAATGACTGAAATGATAGTTTGATACTCACAATAGTTAATTAGTTTTCTGTTGAGCAACTAACTGTTGCAGTTTGGCATGAAATGTGTCTTTTTTTGCTGATCACCAGAATGGAAATCATCTAACAAAAAATTTGGTCAAAAGAAAACTATGGAAAAATAATCAGTAAATTAATCAATAATGACAACAGCCATTAGTTGTAAGCCTTAAGGCCTTAAGGAAAGATCACTCCGCTGAACCATGGAACTGATTTTCTTTCCAGCTTCACTAAGATACATTATTTGGGTGATAATTACAGTGAAGTCTGTTTACCCACTTGCTTAAATACAATTTCTGTAGGCCTGTGCATACTGAACAATCAGACATGCACTGATCCTTCCATGAGAAACAATATTTAGCTCTGTGTAAAGCTGACTGTGGGATGCTCTTATGGGTGTCATGCTGCTTTGCCTCCAGCAAATAGATTCTGAATGCTCTCTGATACCCTGCTCATCTTAGCTGTTTCAAAGGACTTCATTGTTGCTGCTGTCTGAGGAGGATGCCCTCTCCCGTGATGAGTAACACAGTGAGTTGCTTTCATAACAGCTTAAGTGTGATTATAATACATAAATCTCTCTCTCTCCTCTCAGTAAAAACTCAACACCTCAGAGGTGTGGCTTTCAGGAAGGTAGCGTACCAAGCATTTTTCTGCCGTGAGTGTCAAAGACCTGGTTGAGCAGCTATGACAGCAAACCAAACTTTTTAATCTGCCTGCACTTTGTTATGAACAAGTACCGCAAGAGATAAACTAGACTCTACAGTACCTACACTACCATAATTTACATCAATGGGTCTTAGCAGCAGCCACCTATCGCTGCATCGGTGTTGGCTACGATGGCAGCACTGGTACCAGGACAGCTAATCTAAGTAGCTCTCTAACGCATTGTATTGATGTATTTGAAAAGCTAAAAAGCTAACTTCGACAGCTAAAGCCCATAACTATTGACATTCACAACTTAATAGCTAACAGCCTTGTATGTCCGCATGTACTCAAATAAAAACAGTAAAAAAAAAACCCAAATATGTATACGTCGTTAGCTGCAGAAGATGATTATCCCCGAATAAACTTGAAAATAGCTTCTCTCGTTGTGTTAGCTGCTGTTTCACAATGTAATTTTACCTGTTGTGTCTTCAAACGGCTTCAACACAATCTCATGAGAGTTGACAAACGACTGAAACCTAACTTTTATACACTGGCATGAAAACAACCGTGAGAACTTTTTTCCTACACGAAACTCATACACTTCCGTTTTCAGCCCGCGCAGTGCCTTCAGGGAAATGTAGTTTCATTGGGATTCCTTCTGGTACTTAAGCCTATCTATGAACTACGTTACCCGGTGTTCCAAATATAGTGCGTCATAGCTGTGGGAGATGTGGTTTTTGATGTGAACTTACGAATGCGGAACTACCGACCAGGTAATGTAAAACAGGAGTTTTGCGTATACAAATCATATCTGAGAGATTTCCGCGGATGAAATCCGTAGCTTAGCAACATGTTTTTGTTTGTGGACATTCATGTAAATATCTAGCAGATTGTACTCGATCCTATAGACTGTGAATGTTACGCCATCTAATGGTGAAATTCACATAAACAGCAACAACATTCAGTGGGCTGAAAAACCTACATGCAAGACACCTAGACTGTTTGCATCTGTTTGTGGTTATGTTTTTCGTTAGTTATTTTTGCCTCTTTTTGTGAACTTTCCAATAAGAACTGCAGGAAAACTAGTGGTCTGGCCCAGGCGTCTCCTGACCTTATGTGGCCTAACACTGTAGTAAACTGCAATGCTATCAAAATGAAACTGGTATGTTGTCTAAACATAAAATCAGGCGATTTTAATTCACAATAACAGCATGACAGATTTTATTTGTTAGATTACAAAATCTATAGCATTTTAAAATACATACAATTTACAAACAGATATTCAGTGTATCCTGAAATATAAGATGGTTTAAATGGCAGTGAGTTCATCTTACATTTTAACTCAAAATTCCAATCACACTATTCCTGATTGAAGGCAGCTTAGCTTAGCTTACAAGATCATATCCAGGTTTTCCATTTAAAAGATAACTAAAGACATTCAGGGCTCAGTAACATAACATCATGTACATAAAATCAACTGTAGCGAACATGATCTGAAGAATGACAATGGGTGTGAAGAAATTACTTAGATATAAAATTGGAAGTACTTATTGTAACTGTGTAGTGCTTTCCCACTTTTTGAGTACAATCTACAATTGGAACTACATTATAAATAAAGTATTTTTTGATAAGTATTACACACAACTACTATTAGAAAGACAGCATTTTTCAGAACAATAACAATGTTGTTAAGGGGCAAGATATTCAACTTAAGGTTGTTTTAAAAGATTTTTTTTCTCCCACAAAGTGGCAAGAAAACATTCTTATAAAGAAAAGGTGGTAACCACTTAGAAGAATTGGAGAAGAGTTGGTTGGTAAGACATATTCATATTGAAACGATAGTAGTGTGGATATGAGTCAGTGTACTGCTCAATGTATTTCTCCCAAGAGCTACATTTGTACTTCCTTGTGTAGGTTCCAACGCTTTATAAATCCTACTTACTTGAGTCGGAATGAAGCACTCCTTCCACCCCTGAGAATGAACTTGATCTGTTTAAAATCACAGTGGAAACCCTAAAAACTTATTATATTGAAGACAATACTCTATTAATACTTTCCCCTCATTTTAAAATCTCAGAGTGTAATTTTGTCCATGTATCTCATCCTAACGTTGCACTCTCAAGTCTTTGTCCAGGTTGTTATTGTATGGCATGGTATGGTGGTAAATTCAGCTTTTGTGCTGAAAGTGCCTGAATACATGTGAAGTAATGTGATCCATAGTCTTGTTAGTCCACCAGTAAAGTTGAACTATATTGTTATCTAAATACACAATACACAAGCCTTAGGGCAGTGTTGCCATCTTAGGAAGAAGCAACAATTTACCAAACATCATCACTCCATCCAAACCAACATAAATCCCATTTATGTTGGTTTTTTGGACTAGTTGGATTGAAGCATTGCATGAGTTGTGATTGTTAAATGGGAAATCAAATTAATATCCACCACCGGCTAGATCCAGCAGCGACCCAGCAGCCTCCTGGGCCTCGGCATCCAGCTGAAGGATCTCCACAGTCTCCAGGTCCAGCTCGGTGTCACCTGGCAGCACCAGGTACTGGTACTGGTGAGACTGGTAGTAGTGTAACTCGATGTACCCGCTATCTGACAGGGGGTCCTTCTCCATCTCCTCGTTGACCTCCTGCTGGTATTCAACCGACTCCATGGTGACAAGCTCCTCATGATCCGGAGTCAAAGGGCACGGTGGGTTTTCAGCAAAAGTTGGGTTATCAGTTGTCAGGGTTTGGGGTGAGTTGGTAGAAAGGAGGAGAGTGTGAGAAAGAGGATCTGCATGAGCAATAAAAGAAAAAAGGAATATCACATCAAAGTTTTCAATCATAAAACAGTGTGTAAAATTTATGCCCAGCTGTTCGACCAAACGTTTAATACAAGTATTAGTATTGACACAGTTAGACTACTGTTCAGTAATTTGGTCCAACACAACAGAAAGTAATATTAATAGATAATAAAATAGTACGTATGACATTTCACCGCCCATATCAATCCTTGTTCTATATGGGCAGTGAAAGAGCTTTTGTCTTGGCGTAAAAAACTGTGTTACTCTTTAGTGTGCTTAATAAGAAATATCATGGTAATAACAACCTCAGAAATACTTTATTCAAATCTGTTTTTTTTCAGGCATCATTACTTTATAGAGGGTAACTTTCTGTTACCTCCAGATAGTTTAATACAGAGAACAGTCAGTTATTGAGCAATGGTGGCATGGAATCCATTAGCATTTTTATTTTGATTTCACAAAGTAATTCAACACATTTTAACAAAAAGTTAAGATTGTACCTGTTTATGGAAGAAATTTTGTTGCTTAATATAGGATTGTTTTGTTCTTTAAGATGTGATTATGGATGTTATCCGTCCCACTTTTACTTGTGATTTAGTGGATTAAGTTGCTAATTGATTTATTTTTAATTTCTCAGAGAGGGGATAAGTATTATGTAGACGTAGCTATCTACTAGAAATGATTTGAGTCATCATGTTGTTGTTTTTGTCTTAGTACTTTTCTTATGTACTATCAAGAATTACTGCAAGTATGGGAATGTCATAGTATGTGTCTTATGTGTAATCTTTGTCATTCAAGTGTCTCAAATATATTTATGTGAACCCCAGGAAGAGTAACTAATGTAACCATATAGTAGGTAAAGGGGGTCTAAATAACAAACAAACAAGTAGACAAACAAGCAAAATATGAGTCATATGGTAAGACACAAATATTAATAACTGGTTGAACAACCACTTGTCAGATTCTTCAGAGGACACGTGGGCCAATATAGTGCATAGGCTCGGAAATAAAACGAAGGGACATAAAGGACACTAAGCTAGACTATTGCTAGGTTGCCATGGTTATGGAGGGATGTTGCCATGGCAACTGAACACAAACACAGGAACAATGTTGCATGCTGAGAAAGCTGCAGAGACTGAGAAAAGCTGCAGGTAATAAAAGTGTCACAGAGAGCTGTTACTCCAGTGATAAAATACATTGTAGACCAAAAGAAATTCATAAAGGGTCAAATATGTATGTTAATGTGCTAATTAAGTAAAATGAGCCTGCTGTGAGTCTCCTCATCACGAACCTGAGATCTCCATGGGGTCACACACTACAGGCATCCCATAGTCAGCTCCTTCAAACCTGCACACAACATGCCGAGATAGTTAGACAACTACATAAAATCTAAAAAAAATGTTGTTTGTTTGTATGTATGTGTGTTTAAAATACACCTCAAAGCCAGAGTGTTATTAACATGTAAAATTATTCAGAAGCACCTCACCCACTACAGGAAAATCATACTTACAGCTCATGCTACACGGTAATCCAGAAAAATGCAGTGTATTAACAGAAAAACACGCCCATTTAGTTGGACTGCAACTAATGGTTATTTATCTTCCTATTTTTACAATAAATCTATTAATCAGTTTGTCTATAAAAAACAGAAAACAGTGATAGATGCCCATTGCAATTTGAAAGATTCCAAGGAAAAGTTTTTTAAATTTCATGTTTTGTCTGACCAATAGCCCGAAATCCAAATATATTAAAATCTGAAAAAGCAGCAAATTCTCACATTTTAGAAGCTGGTTAAAGCAAATGTTGAGCATTATTCCTTGGACTTAACTTAACTTGACTTAACCTAACTGATTATCAAAACTTCTGTGAAATGATTTTATTTTTTATAAGTAATAAACTAATTGTACCACCATTAATATTTAGACATGACTTTGACTAATGACCAAACCAAGAATCAATGAACATAAAAATGTATTTACTCCACCTTTAGTAATCACTTATTTTAGTCATGAAGTAAATACAGTTAACCCAGATGCAAGGTGCTGCTTGCTTTTTATTTATTTAATGCAGTATAATGATCAATTGAACACTTGGGAATATCTAATGTATACTTAACCTGTGTGACTATACTCACAGTGCAGGCTTGTTTATCAGATTGCTGTTAGTGCTGTGATAACTGTGGGTCTTCCTCAGCACCTCCAGGAGCGCAGGCCGATACTCTGGACAAACACACCACAGTGATCCCTTCCCCACTGACTGAAACAATAATACAAAACTACTTGAAACACTGAAACAGCACCATCCATACAAAGATGTTAGTCTTAAGCAAAACTGACACATTAGACTATATAACAACCCCAACATGTGGAGTACATTATAATAATTTCCCTGTAGGGCAGTTTAATTGCTGACTTCGCTACAAAGTCACACATCTAGATTCAGTGTGTTGCTCAAGGATAGTGTTTTCAGATACTTTTGAACTTTTCTCCTATAATTTAGGCACAGTCTCTATACTTGATAGATGACCCTGTTACTCTTAATGTGGAAACCAAGAGCTAAGTCCCCACCTGGCTCTTGTCCCTCTGAATGCGACAGAAGCTCTTGCTCAGGGACAGGTTGTGTCTCACAGAGTTCCTCCAGCCTCCAGAGGCTGTCCTGTAGTAGGGGAAATTGTTCACAATCCATTCATAGATGCCCTTCACTGGAAGCCTCTTTTCTGGTGAATCTTCTATTGCCATGAAAATCAGACTACTGAAGGAGTAGGGTGGCTTGGACGAGGCAGGTGGAAGAGGCTGAGTAGGTGAAGAGGACTCTAGCTGAGGCAGTGGTGTCATTTTGGGAAGGGGCTGCAGTGGTAGTAGGTTGCCTCTCTGATGCAGCCAGCTGAGGCAGGTCAGGTCATCCTGGTCAGATACGTTTGCAGAGCTGAGGCATTGTATGTTTTGTCCTTCGAGGCACTGAGATGCTGTGTAGTGTGAAAGCGGGGAGGAAGAGTGAATGGACTCTGCTGTTGCTGGAGAAAGTGAGGTAGGGGATGGAGGGAATGAAATAGGTGAAAGTGGGAGCGAAATACGACTGTTGGAGCAGGTCTGCTGTGGCGAGGAGGAAAAAGGTAGTGACACTCCAAAAGTGGTGGGACATGGGGAGGAGGGTGGCAGTGTTTGAGAGCTATTTTCCATCTCTCTTCCCAGAGGAAACTTCCAGGGTCATTCAGCTGTACCACTGCTGAAATATATGACAGAAATAAATTTAGTGACTGTTGCAAGGAATGATTCATGCAAATTAGAATTATAAGTGAGCAACTTTGCACAAAGGACTTAAGTCAAATCTATTTTATTTGTATAGCCTAATATCACAAATTTGCCTTGTATGGCTTAACGATATATGTAGTACACAACATCCGAAGGAAAACCCCCAAAAGAACCCACTTCCATATGTTCAATACCTGTGTTTTGCACAGAGTAGACAGAAATAAATATAGTGAAATTAAGCTGAAAGTATTTGTATTGTTTTCTCCCTTAACAATTTTTTAAAGGAACATTAAACGAAACTTTAAAAACTACCTTTTAAAACAAAAACAGTAATTCAAACATGCAGGGTAATTACTCCAAGCTCATTCCAACTACGGAGTTTTACACTAAAAAGAGGTGTAGAGTAGAAATAGCTCAACAGCTCGATTCAGTTAAATGTTAGCTATCCGTTCCCCTGTGCATCCACTAGCAATCAAAGTCCACTATGTGTACACTCTCACAGCACCATCTCCCGTTTTATTAAACGCCAAACGTGTCCAGGGGCACAGGTGCAGGTCTTTTAAAAAGTCATTGTTGCTCGTAGCTGTATCGATGGTGAGCTGGCATCGATTACATGCTTAAACTAATCGACTTACTGCACGTGAAATTAAATTCATAACGCTCAGAAAGTTTGCATGAGATACCACATGGCTTTACAAAGCAATTCAGTAGGCAAATGGCGGAACAATATAAAGTTTCATTTAGTCAGGAAAGCCGCCTTTTCCCCTCACAGGTAACCCACTCGGTGGTATTAGCTAGAGCTTCAAACGCAAAAATATTAACTAGTTACTCACCAAATTACCAAAGCGGTAATTGTGGCAGAAGTGAGAGCTCCTTGAATGTCCAGAATACGTCGTTGAAAAGTTAAAGGTGAGATTCTGGCGTTTGAAAGTAGAGTCAGAGTCGGACAGCTCTCGCTCCGTGCTGTGTTGCCGTCCGCGGTTTCCATGGAAACGAAAAAGACGCTCTGCAGTGTGCGCGTTCCCAGGCGCGCTCCCGCTCCGAGTGCACAGTCTCAGACCAATCAGCAGTAAGACAGTGAGTAACATCAATGTAAAGTACCTCGTTAAATATTAAGTAAAGAAGTAGTATCAGTGGTAAAAATAGATGGTTGCCAGTGGAGAGAGTATTTAGATTTTTTAATCAAGTAAAAGCATGTCCACTGTGTAAAAGCACTCATGTAAAAGTCCTGCATTTATAACTAAATACATTTACTCAAATGCTTAAGTGCTGTAATTAAATACAATTTTGTACTTTGTACTTGACTTCAGTATTTCTATTTTGTAACACTTTATACTTCTCCACTGCATTTCAGAGGCAAATATTGTACTTTTTATTGCCCTACATTTATTTGACAGCTATTGTTACTCTGAATTCAGATTATTAATATAAAATATAATACATTATCATGTATTATTACAGATTAAGCTACCCAGCACTGTACATATTAACTGATCAATATTTGTAATCCAATAATAAAATATACATTATTCTGAAACTGGCTATTCTGCATTGCATTTTTGCATTACTTTACTTTTGGTACTTTGATTTTGATGCTAATATTTTTGCACTTTTACTTAATAGCAATTTTGAATGCATTACTTTTACTTTTAACAGAGTACTTCTACACTATATGCTACTGCTTCTTTTACTTCCACCACTGGTAGTTTCAGAACAATGTTGCGTTACAAGTAGTCATTATGCAGCATAATGACCTCTGTCAGTGTTATATGTTATTTATTACACAATTGTATTATCATTACTTACATTTGTTCCAAATTTGAAGAAATTCAGTTAAGGTGCTACCAAGATATTGCATTCATGAGAATAGTACTGATGGACACACTGAAAACATAATGCCTCCAGCCACGGCTGTCACTGCACATAGGCACAAAAATGGCACAATTTTTCTCTGAAATGTAACATTCATTCCCACAAAATGGCAATTCTCATGTAAAACACCAGTACCTCAAAATTGTACACTAACTAAATGAATTTCAGTTCATTTCCACCTCTGAGTATAACTTTGCAAAATATGTCTGACTCAGTCATAGACTGTAGGTCGTATGATGAGCTCTAGCACCTTCTTTAGAAATCGAACCTTATTAAATGAAACAAATATTCTTCAGAAGTAAATAAGTCAGATAAAACTCATGCAGGATTACGTTGCGTATAGATGTAGCTTGTTGGTACTGAAAACAATAAAGTATCAGAAACTGGTCAAATTGAATACACAAAGCTAAATAAATTTAATTTTTCTCTACAAAAATCCAAACATTGTCATGCTTTGTGAAATGTAGATAAATAAAATCCAGGTTTGACAAGAGGAGAGAGGAAATGCAGCAACTTTAACATACCAGAAAAAAACGGTATTAGGATCATATGTGTAATGTGTCTGTGTGTCTGTGTGGCGTGTAGTATGGCTGTGAGGTGTAATACTGGAAAGCATGTCCAGTGACATTATATAAAATGAAAACTGAATGAAACTGAATCCAAGTTAGGATAAAGAAATCTCAATGAAAGCCCTTGTGGTCAAAGTTAGGTGGCCAAAAATTAGCATTTGTCAGTGTTACTGTACACAACAGAAAAAAAGTCTTCCATTGAGACACTGTGTCACACTTTCTTGTTACATCATGAAACAACTACATTATGAACATGTCCATCTGACAAGCTGTACACTCGCTGCAGCTCAACACTGTCTACACATGTTTTGAGTTTACTGACAAAAGAGCGTATAAAGGTAGTTGTACAAACACTCAACAACCACATTTTTTGGGTCCAACATACATGGACTTCAGGTTAGTAAATGCCTCAAGGTCACCTGACCAAGTGAGAGGTTAACCAGTATATAATGATTGGTTGAAAGACTGCAGTGGCCACAGTGATATAAAGGCGCAGTTGAGGTTTGGCACTTGAACCAGTTCCCATGGAGTCCGAGGAGAGAGAGGTAAGGATCTTCATTTTTAGAGATCGAACCTGAGGAGATAGTAACATCTTTAAATTTGCAATTCAGACTAACATAAATACAGACAGAGTTGACTTCATTGAAAGAAACATTCAAGATTTGGGGAAATATGCTTATTCTCTTTCTTGTCAAGAGTTAGATGAGAAGACTGATGCCACTCTCATGTCTACTGTGCAAAAACTAAATAGTTTAAACAACATGTTGTGGTTTTACAAAGGTTTTTGTGGCAAACTATTTCTTGGTCAGGACCAGTAATTTCTGAGAGTCTATGCTCATCGCCTGGCACCATCACCTTAAAAGCAAGACTTCATATTAATCATTTCCCCCAGTTGTTGTGCATAGAAATATGCTTGTGTGGAGTTAAATAATAAAAGAGATAGTATGCTGAATGTTTTGATTATTTAAAGCTCATAAATGTCCAGTTCATAGTAGTGTAATAATCACATTTACTGTGTCAGATTGAGCAGCAATTAATCAGTGGATTTGGTTTTTTGTGTTTAATTAATACATAAGTTTATAAATGTGGCGGATGATGTCAATAAGGACTCAAAATACTCACAATGAAGAACATAAGGGCGCAAGAGGACCAGGCAAGGGCCACAAAATACCCATCACTGCCAAACAATAAGCCACACAACACTGTGAAGATCATCCTGGAGGAAAATACATAAAGAAAAACATTCACAATGTTGACATGGACCAAACTACATTTTAAAATATCCTTATTTACAAAACTACATTTCAACCACTGAGCTGAATCATAATCAAGTTGTCTAAATTGTTTATTTAGTATTTGATTTCTTCAGTTACAATACAGAATGAGGAAACTAATCATCACACTGATTTGCTTTGTCAATAATGAATGAATGCATGAATAAATGAATAAATGAATTTCAAAATATTTGCATCAAAGGTCTATTTACCCCACATATTTGTATCCACTGTAGGCAATGAGATCAAAGGTTGAGAGGTCGCTGTGAACAGTCAACAGGTACAAACTCAACAGCATCACCAAGACCTCAATGATGACCCACACAAGGGCAGTGCTGGCACACAGTCCAAGAACCTCAGGACTGAACCTTCACACAAGGACAACACACAATCCTTATTTAACTTATTTAATACAAAGATATTTATTGTGAGACATAAATAAATTAGATGAGGAGGAATTACTCACCTTTTCTGAATACCCAGGGCCATTCCAGCAAGTAAAATGTAGGTAATGAAAGCCATTGCTAAAAGACAAAAAAGACAAAAGGAGAGTTCATACATTATACAGGCATCTCAAAATACTCTGCTATTGATTTTTGTATAGAAAACTTACTTGGTATGTAAAGATCAGGTGCATTCACATCCTGTCTTGGAGTCAGTGGAGTGTCCCGATGGTAACGAACCTCCCAGTCCTACCAAGAACACACAAATAGAATATGAATCAGCCAGCAGAGTCTAACAGTTACATGCAAATGATGCTCTGTCCCTTTTTCCCCCACCTTAAGGGTCTACAAGATGGAACAACTTGGCTTACACTAAACAATAAAATGGTTTAGACAATCACAATGTGAAAGCTACATTAAACTTGCTAAGAAATTTGAATTTTTTTTTGGTCTGCAATCCATAACAAAGGGAATAATGTGAGAAACTATATAAAAAGGCAATTAAAACAAAAGCTTGATAATAAATTAAGGCAAACCACAGTGGCAGCTGATCCATTCTTGCATAAGTAAGAATAGAGAAAATAGATAAACAATATTACATTACAGCAAAATAACATTTTACAATTACAACAAGTGCTGTCATTAGTATGCCTTTTTTGTTTAACAGTTTACTGTGGATGGCATAGCAAGAAAGACCATTTTACACTGCAATAGATCTCAACCACTGTGGGACAACACATCAAAAATCCTGCAAAAAAAAAACACACTTGATGTCATCTTAATGTCTCTTTTTTTAGTATGTTACTGAGCTGTTGATGTATTGATGTTTAGTAGATCTAGAATCTCTCACAGTTCCACAGCACACAAAACAAATCTGTATCGTCTTCATTGCATCTTGGACATTTAAAAGATACTAAAGTCTGGAGTTAATGTTATTTAAAAGGAAAGGCCATGATATAAGATATTAAGATCGGATTATTCTATGTCATGTGTTTGTAAGAACGTCCTCCCCTTCAGAGAATGAGTTTAGCAATATTCTATATTTTTGTTACAGTCATGAAATTCCATTAAAAAAGACAAAACCAACAATGTATTAGTCTGACTCTCAATACTTTCTGACTTCTGAACCCTCCATGTGGTACTCAGATCCAAGCCCCTTTGTTACAACTGAAGATGTAAAAACGGGTCATAAATGTATATATGCAGATATACATTTGTAATAAGAATAATTTCCCAAATCAGTTTTTAGCAATTGTTACTAAAACTAGAGTATATTGCTTGTTTGGGACTAATTTCAGCTGTGGATCAGCAGCAGGATTGTGTATGTGGGGTCGACTCAAACTACCACATCTACTGTGGCCATGTTGATGGTTTTGAAGGAACACGTCACCCACTGCAGCAGCATGGCGCATTGATGAGGAGGACAAGGTCCATGGCACAAAGGAATATGGTATATCAGGCTTTGGCTACACAGATGATACTTGTTATCAGGATCAATTCATTGCTGTTTTTTTTTTTATTTCATAGGCTTCGTTGACAATAGTAAAAATATAGAATATCACCAGACTTACTGCTTTAAATAAACCCAAGCCATGAGGTACTAAATTAACATTACAACCACACTGTAACAGTTGTAAATACTAGGTAGTAGCAAATAGTATTTTGGGTCAAACAGTAAAATCTATGTGATCCTGTTCTTGTAAGGAGAGTTTGCACTCTGTGTAGTTTGTACAGTATCAGAGCACAGAATGACTTAATTTACAATCAGAATAAGTTAAAGTGTGTGGGAATTAACTGAGCTCAGTGTGTGTTTATATCCTCAATGGCAATCACAGTTTTATGATGTTCATAAATAAAGTTGGATTAGTGATAAAGTGGCTGATTATTTTGTTTGCACAGTTTAAATGTGATAAGTGGTTAAGAATATGATACCAGAGAAACGTATCATGCAGACTTTAACTATTAAATGTTTTGTGTTGTCCTGTACGTTGACGTTGGCACAAAGTCTGACAGAATGAATGGCTTTTGATTACCTGATGTGTATAAGGGAACATAAGGATCATAAGTTTCTTCAGTACATATCTGGTGTCGACAGCAAAGAAGTATTTCAGCTTGTTCACAGACATGAATCTGCTGATCTGAAAGGGAGAGCAAGTGCAAACATTAATTTCATGAATGAGGATCAACAATCTGCCAAAGTTAATAAATACAGTTGAGTCATAGTCATTTTTAAAGAAGGCTGTGGCTGCCCTCAGGACTGTGCATCACTCTGCCTTGACGCACAGTATATGTATTTTGAACCACCTGCGTAACAAAGTTGCCAAACCAGCTAAACAACATCAGTATAATTTATCTGCCATCAATGAGCGATGCATTTATTTAAATGATTTTCTCCTTATTACTGGGTGAAGAAAGCAGATCAGAAGGTCTGCTTGTCTGAAAAACTGTCCATTAAAAATGACACTTATAAGATGTAAAAATTTGAACTGTGAAAAGCATCATTAGAGAGGAGTTGAACTGCACAAAGTATCAGGCTGCTCCTGGAAAGGACTGTGTCATTTAAAGAACACATCTGTGCGTTTCTTTGTGTTGAAAAACCTCAAATTATGTACTTGTGAAAGCGAGTCAGTTTATCAGACAAAAATTAAATACAATGGCACAAAAATAACCACTTGCATGGATAAAAAAAAAAATTCACTGCTGTAAAGCAAATTGGCATATTTCAGATGTTTGGACTTAATATCTTATCAAATAAGAAAGGGGTTAAGAGTCAGGCTGGGTCTGGGTCTGTATGCTTGGTTATAAGGCTTCAGAGAAATTTCAAAACCATGTGAAAATTGTTCAGAATGCGTTTAGGGTATATTTAAACTTGTAATTACAATTGGTGACTTGTAATTTGAATCAGCCAAGGCATATTTTGTGTAAATTGGTGTCAATTACTCAATATTGGTCTTGACCTTATTTATAGGTTCATGGATTAACACCCCCAACCCCATTCAAATACATACAGCACTGTATATCATATTGAGAGGAACCCTATGAATATCCCACTTTTCCTCACCTCTTTGTTTACCATATCCTTTCCTTGGTTGGCTAAGGAGGAACCGTACATCATTGCAGCATTGGCCATTGGGTCAGTAAACAGGTTGTTCACTCCAGCACCACCTCCTTGTATGTCATTTGATGGTCCTCCCATATTGTACCCAGGATTGTAGTATCCCTGACTGTTCATTGCTGGTGCTGCAGAGCTGGTGTCTTCAAACAGGACAGAATCAGCAGTGGGGGGAGTTGCACGAGCTCTCTGTTTAGCTATGGAAAAGATGGACACAATAGAGAAAATGGAGGATAATTATTTCATTTCACTACAGTTACTCCAAAAATGTGCCCATGTCGATTGTTCAATTACTGTATGATTGACCCTTTAAGTCATCCAAAGTTTACACTCAGTTTGTTAGGTAACCTTAGCTAAACCGAATGTAGTGTAAAAAGTAAATAATGCAACTCTGCATTAGATCCTACCTTCACAAAGAAATATTTTTTTGGCCAAAATGCTGTAGAAAAGCATTCACGGACATTTTGAGGATTTCGTTTTGTGCTGCTGTTGAATAGTATTACATGTACAGTACAGTACAGTGCCATACAAAAGTTTTAGGCACTTTAATCTTTTAGATTCTCATCCATCATGCACAAGCATCAAGGAAGTGTCTCGATGGTCCCAGATTCATTCTGTAGCAGGACAACAACCCCAAACATAAAGCAAGAGTCATAAAGAAGTAACTTCAGTGACAAGAGGAACAACACGTCCTGCAACAGATTGGTCTGGCCCTCACAAAGCGCTGATCTCAACATCATGGATTCAGTCTGGGATCACATGAAGAGACAGAAAACACTGACAGAAGAACTGTGGCAAGTTCCCCAAGATGCTTGGAACAACCTACCTGCAAAACCTACCTTGAAAAATTGATTCTGTTTTAGAGGCAAAGTGTGATCACACTAAATATTGATTTGATTTAGGTTCTTTTCTCTTTACTGCATCTTACTTTAACTTTATGTTGCTGTTTACTTTAAGTCCCTAAACCGTTTGCACAGTACTGTGTATCAGTGGGGGCACACATTCTAACTCTTATGAAGGTAGGATTTACCTTAGCACTGCTGTATTATACTCCATCAGTTTTAGTTTTAGTTGTGCCTAATAAACGGTCATCTTTTTAGGGCACATCACCAGCCAGGTGACATCACCAGTGGAGTTTGTAAGAAAATAGGAAGTAGCTACTGTGGGTGGATATTTTGCAAAACTTTTCAAAAATGGTAACTGATGGTGATTCATCTTTACACTTACTTGCTCGGTACCCATGGTGTTGCAAGTCCATTGTAACGTTCGCTGACGTTAGCTTAAAATAAAAACAATGACACGTTAGCAACATTTCAATTTATTGAACGCTCTGTTTGTCTTGGTCAGCTAACTAAACGAAGCTAACACTGACTTGATACCAATAACAGTCTAGCTCACAACACTTTATGCTAGCTACCCAGCTAACCTTCTTATAAACTTATTTAACGGAACCACTGTTGCTGTCGGTTGATGCTAGCTACCTAGCCGGATAAGCTAAATTAATAACATCATATTTTCATCTGATAATCTGCGTATCAGGAGAGGCGATATAATTGCTTTAATCCGTATCCTAGTAAATGCTCACACAGCTTGTCTGAGGAATAATATTACAATTATGAAGAAAATACCGAGAGTGAGAGCACTTACCTACACAGCTAACGTTGGTAGCTAGCTACGTGGCTATCAGAATGTTAGGGCTGATCCCACCCATCCACTGCGGTTGGCTGACTTCGCTGTGCCTGCGTGGCAGAAAACATGTAAGTACTTCAGAGAGTACACAGTTGCACCAATACACACAGTAAGAGCTAATACTAGCACTGCCATGTGTTACCTGTCATGTCTGACTTTTGTGTTTTGTGGAGACAGCCTGGTAGGTTACATTTCAACATTAAGGAGCCACAAACTATACATGTCTGGACAACAGTAGTGGAACAAGAACTCAGCTCTTCTACTTAAGTAAATAATTGCTGTTGTGCAGGATATAATATTACATGCAACACACAGTAAACTCATAAAACACGACTTTAGCTACAATTGATCCTCAGTGGTGTGGGGTAAATTACATAAATGTACATTAACTCAAGTAGTACACTTTTTAGGTCACTTGTACTTTACTTAAGCTAGTTTATAGCTTACTTAAACTTCACAACAGAGGAAAGTATTGCAATCTTTAAATCACTTTATTTGTTTAACAATTTAAGAAGCTACTGTTACTTTGCAGATTCAAATTTTACACACAAATGATGAGCTTGTAAAATAATTTTTTTTACTGATAAAATCACTTGATAGTAGGCCTAGCTATATAAAAAGGTAGAACTGGCCTCACCTCAAACTGCTATGACATTAAAATTCTGCTCAGATGTTAATACAGGAATAATGATAATACAATTGTATAATACATAACAATGACAGGCTGGCCATGCTGCATAATGACTACTTGTGATTCTACATTTTTCTGACACCTGCTTTGCCCAGTTCGTAATCCAGCTTTTCCTTACTTTTGCATTGCTAGACCACCTATGATATTGTTATAGGCTGCTCATTACAGATTAATGTATCAAGTCAAGTCAGTTTTATTTAACATATAGTCACAAATCACAAGTTTGCTTCAGAGTGTTTTACAGTCTGTACAACATATAACACCCACAATTAGATAGATCAGAAATAAAACACTTCAAGGAAAAAAGTCATTTACTTTATAATCGTACTTTGAGCATTTTCATTTTGAGCAAATTTATATTTCACTACATTTTAGGGAATTATTATACTTTTTACTCTTCTCTGTGTGTCCCATGTGGTTGAATGGTCACTACACACTTTGTAGATTAAAACTTTGAATATAACAATATATGGTGGGTTCATAAAATTTTAAACTACTAAATTGTAGCCTTAAATATAGCTCCATCTGGAGTAGCTGCAATGCTGCTACTTTAACTTTTGCTACTTAAATGGAATAGCACTCATATGGCGCTTTTCTAGTCTTACTGACCACTCAGAACGCTTTACAATACTTGCCACATTCACCCATTCACTCACACATTCATACATCACATACATTCACACAGTCATACACTGATGGAACTGCCATCAGGGACAATATTGGGTTCAGTACTTGAGAACATTTGGTTGCTAATACTTCAAAAACGGTTTTACTTTAATATTTGAGTTCAGGACTTATTCATATTGATTGATAAGTTTAAGGCTCTGTACTTTTCCTACCTCTGTTGTAAGAGACAGTGCTTCAGGATCAGTACCTCAGTACATTTTACTGCTAAAACATTATATTATATTATATTATATTATATTATATTATATTTCCCACACCATGTACAGTGAAAACACTGTATTTGGATTATAGTAGCATTTAATATCATTCAATTTTATTACTTGTACACACTGTTAATTTAGCGTAATAGAAATGACATATACAGTGTAAACCATGACTGAGACAATCAGTGCAGTCTCTGTACAGTGATGTTTAAAACTACACTGTACAGTCATAGTAAAATAATCTACCTGTTGTTCTTAAACATGAACGAACAAGGCATGTACTGCAACACCCACTAAACCAAGTAAAATTCAAGTGTAGCATGAGGATGCTGTTATAAGCATGTGTGGGTGGGATGAGTGTGTGGGTGTGGATGAGTTATATGAATACAAGTGGAGATTTTTTGGGTGAGTAAATTGTAATGGAATCTAAACTTCTTTCATCCCCCTACAAAATGCATCCAAAAGCTTTTGGAGGGAAAATGTGGAGTAAAAGAGAAAAACATAACTTACCCACACCCTCAGATGTGGCTATACATAAAGACAAAATAATTTTTATTCAGCAAAGTGCGAGTATGTATTGAGCAGACTTTTCCTCGTCATATAAAAGAGAAACGAAACAACAGGTGGGTGCGTATAGGTGTAATCAGACAAAAAAATGGTGGCCAACATGTTGTGACATGTCACGATCAGAGACATAGCAAGTGTCTCATCATTGCATTCCTGAAGCTTTAGTCATCTGGCAATCAACTTTAACCCATATTCCCTTCACGTGATACCACTGACCACTCTGAAATAAAAACTATCCTGCATGTGTTCTTTCATTATTACAGGGTGCAATATTGTTGAAATCTGAAATATGAGACTCAGCAGTTAAATGGGTCAATGAGCAGCAGGTATAGGCCTTGTAAAATGACATGCTCCTGGCAGCTTCAGATTCCCTTCACTGTCTCTTTTCTCATTCATAAGGTTATGAGTAAACGACAATGTCTCAGTTCCTATATAGATGTGATCATTAATCTGCAGTATTCTTGTCATTTAACTCCCAGAAGGAGACTTTTCTGAGTGAACTAGAAACTTTCTTTTCAATTAATTTAGGGATTGTTTTTTTTTTAATGACAATCCTTATTCCCAGGAGTGGTATTAGCAGTAACATGAGAGACTGGTGCAACAGTCAGCAGCTAAGAGAAACCAGCCTTTGCCGGGAACTCTGTCCTCAGGGACTGCAAGGTCAGCAGCTGTTGTGACAGACTAAGCTTACCGAATCTACAGCATGCATTTTTTGAATCTTTACTAGGTGCTATATTGTGCTTGCAAGTAGAAAACAGTCGTTGAAACGGATGGTGAAATGAACGAACAGCTTTGTCAATTGATTGACTCATCTCCACAGGCATGCTTGCACATTGATGTGGTTTGTAAAGTGAGAGTGGCTGCCAAAAACCTCAACACAATTAGGCACAAGCACCCAACTTCCCTACACTTTATAATCTACTTCATAACTGTAGTAACCTTGAAATTGATTCATATTGAAGATATAAGAGAAGGCTATTAGAGTAGCCCTTTTTTTTGTCTCCCTGCTGTTCCTGACAGTTACTGTAGGTCTATATGCTGAAAGAAGTGATGGAAATTCCTCTTGTAATGTAAAAGTATTTGTAATTTTTGGAGAACACTTTAAAGTCCATAATTTCATGTTAATGTAAGTTGTTAGTAGAGTAGTACACTTTAAACTTCAGTTAAAATAACATCCATTACTGAATACAAATGTTTTCATTATTTCAAGATAAGATCTGACATCAATATGAACATGAAAAGTATAAATTTTAAGTTTACTTTACTTAAAACTATTGTATTGATTAACATTATTACTAAATGTACATTTACATTAAGTTAATGTAAAGCCAAGTTTGATACATGGCTATACAAAGTGGTATACCACAGTTTATGTTGTTAACTCTCCATAAGCATTAGAAATGGAAAAAAGTCAGATTTTTAAAACTACTCTTTTATGATTCCCATCTTCTTAGCTAGCAAATGGTAATGATCACATCCAATAGTTTTCTTATCTCTTAGCTACAGCAAATAATAAAATAAAAAAATAACAGTAGAATGCAATATAAATAACTATACCTTTTTTTTTCTTTTTTTTTGCTCAAGTAGATTTTTTAAACACAATATTATATAAGTAACAGTGCTTCCACTGGAGCAGGAAGTAGTAGTAGTAGTAATAGTAATAGTGTTCCCACAAAAGAAAAGAAACCAGAAAACACGGAGCAGAACTATTGGTATCAGCTCATGAGATGAAGCTGTCTGAGGAATCCCGATGTGTTACGCTCAGGAGGAAACTCTCACCAAATATGGTCAACGACGTCACGGCACGTGGTAAGATTCGTGAGAGATTCCAGGCAACACTATTTCCCGTAAAGACGGAGGGGCGTGGTAAACATACAGTCTCGCTTTAAGAGTTTACAACCTCACAATCATTCCCAGACTCCGGCTTCTACGTGTGTGACTAAAGACTAGAGAATGTACTGAAAGTCAGTTTCGGACGTTTTAGTGCGATTTGAAAAAAAGGCGAAGCGGTATTTTCTTCCTTATCCCCCCTTCAAGACAGACCAGTTTGGACTCTACCGACTTACCGCAATAAGGTGGGCTTACCCCAAGTTTGAATTGACACACGAGTCTCAACCCGAAAGTAACTTCGTGAGGCTAGAGGACTTTATAGCCACAGCTGGGACAAATTTTCTCTTCATTTGAAAAGAAAGGATGTATCGAAACTTTGGGAATCAAGGACGAGGCAACCCGGCCTACTCAGGCAGCAGCTCTGGGTCAAACACCGGATCACACACCAGCACCACAACTACACAACAGGAGCAGGTAGGAGTACCTTCATTGAACGAGACTACAGGCTATCCCTGACAGTCAAGAGTCAAATCAGTGTAATAGAATATGAATTAAACTGTAACACTTGTTTAAAAGTTGTGAATGATGTAGTAAACATGTAATACTGCTACACTATTCACTTTGTGTATTTCTTTTGTATTATATATATCATTATAGTGTTTAACTTAAACATTAACTTATACATCAGTCATCTTTCACTGTAATAAACTTTTATTTATACCTCTGACACAATGTGTTTTGTTACTGATGACATTTTGAAGTTAAGTCTTCTGTTACAGTATTTTTACCTTGTCCACTAACTTTACCCCTCCCTTTTTTGAAATCTGTGTTTTATAGAAATTTGCCATAGCAGGCAGCAGCCAGTTTGTACCAAGCCTCAATGCCATCACATCCAGCCAGGACCTCCAGTGGCTGGTCCAACCCTCCCTTATGCATTCACCGGGCCCTTCAAGATCACCAGTACCTCCTTACCCAACCCTCTCTGGGGCCCGGGCGATGGGTCCACCACCTTCCCAGTCCCAGCTTCTCAGACCAGGGGTCATAAGAGCAGCTGCAAACACTACAGCTTCAACAAGGCGCAGAAACGATGAACATGTAAGAGAGTAATACTTAAATAATAGAAATATAGTGCTAAAAACATATTTTAAAGAGACACTGGTGACTGTTGATTTGTTGTATTTCTACTGTTTGAACAATGACAGTTGTCAATGACAGAAAATAAAAGGTGGCCTCTTGGGATTCATAGTTTCCCTAGAGGGGATGCAGATAGTGAGGTGTGGAGAGTGTCACAGTCATTTCTGTGTAACTGGTGTGTAATATCCTGTTACCCAGTGACACAACTGTTTTATTTCCATTAGACTTGCACATCAGATGAATCCATATAGGAATGCGAAGATTATTTTGAAACATTACTTAATATTACTTAATTTTTTTTATTTTTCTAAGTAAAAAAGAAAAATGTCAGCTCCAGAGGCAAATGCACTCTGTTTGTGTTCTTTTCTGTGTTTACTTTTACTCGATGTTGACTCAGTAAAATTATCACCTGTGACACACTGTTTGCAATGATCTGCTTTTTGCTAGTAAAGTGATGTTAGATGTCAAAGCAAGATAGGATACACATTAAAATGACCCAATCCAACACAACTTTAATCCAAGAACCTTTATCATTTTTATTGCCTCCGTAGGATCCTTTTTTGGTTTTATCAGTCCCACAATGGCACATATCCCCGCCGCAGTTTTGTTCTTAGAGATGTAATTTCATGGTACAGGAAGTGGACTGTCATGTGACTCATAGGGGCAAGTCACTTTCTCTGACTCACACCCGAGTCACCGCTGGGGTCTGAGTGTGACTCATCCTCCTGAAAGGGCGGGAAATATGGGATGAACGGTAATTATTCAGTAGTGCGCTGGATGAGGTCAGAGTTAGGGTGTTACAAAGGCACAAAAGCTCAGACATTTCAAAATCTTTCAACCGCCATGACTGTGATGACTCAGAGCACACACATGGTGGTAGTATTTCTCCTGTGTCACGTTGCCTATGGTGGAATCTCCAAGCCTCCCTGTATATTTTGAGATTTCATGTTTGCCCAAAGCTTTGAGTTTGACTTTCATTTCATTCTGTCAGGATAACCTATTTTATGTATTTTAATATTTTTTTCCACTTTTTCCCATCAGTTATCCCATGAAGAGATGGAAAGACGCAGAGTAAGAAGGGAGCGGAATAAATTGGCTGCAGCAAAATGTCGCAATCGCCGACGGGAGCTCACAGACTCACTGCAAAATGTGAGTGAACATTATAGGAAATGTCATAACATTAATGCTTGAAAGACAATGTAGTGGTTTCAGTCAGGCATGAGAGAATTTATGTGTCTGTCTCTTTCTGCTTCCCCCCTGGTTTAGGAGACTGACCAGCTGGAGGATGAAAAATCCCGTTTACAGAAGGAAATAGCTGAATTACAAAAGGAGAGAGACAAGCTTGAGCTTGTCCTGGAAGCTCACCGTCCCATCTGTAAAATAGAGGATTCCGATTCAGATTCTGACCCAAGTCCATCAATTTCCTCTTTGCGAGGCGTCAAAATGGAGCAGGAGGACTCCAGCAGACCTGGAACCTCAACCAAACTTCCAACAAAGATGGAGAAACCCAAACCAAAGATAACTCTCCCCACCAAGCCTGTGACATCATCGGCCTCTGCTGTTGCCACTGAATCAGAGTCGCTCCACACCCCGATTCTCACATCCACTCCCTCGCTAATGGCATTCACAGCCGGTATGGTTTTCACTTATCCCTCTGCCTCTTTAGACACCAGCGCCTCCATCACGTCCCATGCTACATCACATCAGGGAAATGTCCAACAGTCTCATGCCCCACAGCCCTGTGGGATAGCTCATCGCCGCAGCAGCAGCAGTGGTGACCAATCAGATCACTCCCTGCACTCCCCGACTATCCTCACATTGTGACTGACGGCCCTGTGATCCTGGCAAAACACTAATGTTCATTTCAACGTAGTCCATGTCTGTGTGTGTGTGTGACAAAAAGGATCTCTGGGAAACCTGACGGAAATGAAAACGATGATTGTAATAACCATTTCAAAATGAACTATGTGCATCTGCTTCATTTAATATCTTTAGAAAAAGTATTCTTTTTATTATTAGATAACACATAAATTAGTGGCATTATCAGGATATGAATGTTACACTCTTTTTAGATTTGATATAAATATAGACTTTATATTTTAAAAGCTATGAGGTAGAATGAGTATGTTTGAGGTGAAGAATTGCATGCACAATATATTCTCAACAAAAGCCTTTTACAAATAACTGATAACACCATCTAATGATAGATAAAAATAATATTTATAATAATTATACTTTACATTATGTTGCATTTAATGACTTGTTACATTTTTATGTCATGTTATGTAACACTTTATAAATGTCCTCACCAAGGCATATAGAGAATTTATTGTTTTTTTTTCTATATGAATCTTAAGAATTCTAATATAGTCTATGCAAATCATTGACCACTAAGGCTGGGCCATAGGAGTTGATATAGATTACATGATCACATATTTATTTTTTAAGAGTGTAATATATTTTTGATAATGTTTTAATTTTCTGTGGCAATTGAACTGTTATGGTGGGCAGTGCCTTACTTTTAACTTTTGTCAAAGCTGTACTACTTCACAGATAATAAAGAACAAATGTTCATAAATGTGTGGAAATTGTAATGATGTAATATTATTGGTAAAAAAAAAAAAAGAAAAAAAAAGAGGATGAGTAAACAACTTAAAAACAACAGATTCATCAGATTCTGTTGAGAACAGATCATTTAAAGTGTGCAAAAAAGATTTTTGTAAACTGAATGCTGAGACACCAGATTAACCCAAACTGGAATATAAATACTGTAGGCATGAAACACGGAGGCGATCAACTGATGATTAGTTATCATAGTTGATTAACTGTTTCATGCATTTAATCAAGCAAAATATTCTCTGGTTGCTGCTTTTCCAAAGTGAGGATTTGCTGCTATTCTGTGTTTTGTATCCATGTAAAGTGAATATCTTTGAGTTTTGGACCTTTGGTCATAAAAAAAACAAAAAAACAAGCAATTTGAAAACTTTACCTTTGACTCTTAGATATTATAATGGGCATATTTCATTATTTTGTGACATTTTACAGATTAAATGATTAATTGAGAAAATAATAACCTATTTTTGAAAAATAAAATACTGACAAACTAATGACCACTCTATGCCCATCAACTGTGAACACTGTGTCCTCTGTTACTCCATTTCCCAAAAATGAAGCGAATCTCTTGCTAATACATACATGGCTCAGAGGGCATTGGATCACTCTGTGAAAATGGGGTTAGAGAGAGATATAGAGATGGAAAAAGAGTCACATTGAGAGCTAGAGAGCACGAGGGAGAAAAAAATCACTGTATGATTCTGCTGTCAAAGGACGTCTGTGCATCACTAAGTGGGTGAAAGCATTACTGCCCTCTTCAGCTCTCCAGACTGTGCAAATACAGATCCAAAAATAAAACTGATGAACATCCATAAAGTCAGTCTGTATGACAGAGAGGGAGCATCAATCAGGCACAGCTGGTTCAGACGTGAAGGTCAAAACAACAAGTACAGAAATCAATCCTTCATTCTGTGTCATGTAAATGCAAATGCTTGTTTCTGCAAAGTCAAACACACAAAGAAAGGTCAGGACAACAAAAAAGTGTCATAGCCACTGTATTTAAAGCTCTTCAATGCACTACGAGCATAGCCCACCAATAAACAGCTAACGACAAAATAAATCTTTTCTAATCCATGTGCATTATCTATGATTTAAACTGAAATCGGTTAGTAATGCTAGTTAATACAGATAAACCAAGATAAAGAAGGGTCAAAGTTAAGAAAGTTAAGATCCCTAATGTCACAGGGTAAATACAAAGCATGAGTTACAGAAGAGAAAGCTGACCATTGTCCAACTTAAACAAACTCTGTGATATGCTAATTGAACATCATCAACAACAATGTAATAAAGAAAAATGTCCGACAAGTGAATTTAAACAGCTTGGCTTGAATAGAATAGAATAGAAATCATTCAAACTTGTAGACCTTCCAGTTTGATATAAAGAGTTTCCAGTTGGATTTAAAAAAGTGACAGAACTTATTCAGTTCAGCTCTGAGTGAGGTCCAAGGACATTTATCATGTATCATGATCCAAAACCTTAACAAGTGTGCTGGCTCTGCCCAGGCTCTAGCACGTTACATTATGCACAGCAGCCCCACCCGCAGTAAACCTGAAGGGCCTTCACATCAGACTGGTTCACAGGCCTGTACAAATTGTGACAATCATCATGCACATATGGCACTCCAATCCTGTCCTGAGGAAGAGTGCATAAAATATTACACGTTATTGGGCATCTAGCAAAAGCAAATATCAAATAATTTCATATTTTCTTTTCTCTTTTTTTTTTATCACAACTCATCTATTTCAGTGCTATTTGAATTCAGTGGACTAAATATGGCTCAAAACTGGATTGAAATGAATCTTTAGATCTGTGATTTAAAGATCCATGATAACGCTGTCCAGTGCAATAGAAAAAAGGCTTCTATCAGTGTAGGCTAGTCCAGTGCATGAGATAAATTTATATATGTGACCCACTTTTTGGTCCCATTTTTTTTTTTCAACAACAGACCAATGAAAAAGGAATTTCCCAAAAACAGACGAGTCTTTAGAAAAACACTGTAAAATTTAGATACATTATCATCTGGCAAACATTTATTAAATGTCTTTGTAAAGTCCTGAAAATGTCTACAGTGAAGAGTCTTTGTCAAGCCAAACCTAGTGGCACACAAATCTTTGCAGCATTGAGAAGGCCCTAATGCTTTTGCTCCAATTTAATTTGTATGGTCTGACAAAGTTTCTGTGTCTCCATTCTGTCAATCACATCACCCCTGTAGTCTACAGCTTCCTTATTCAGGTCGGAGAAGCCCTGACAGTTGACATAAACCTGCCATCAGTCATCAGGTGAGCACACCAGGTGAAGTTGGTCTGGACTTCCCACGCTGCCTGTGCTGGAGCTTCCGTCCCCCAGGTCCCGGGCCACCATGCAGGGCAGGTTGAGCTCGGTGGACCCGCCGGGGCTGGAGTCACTCCTGCTGACACATTCCTCCTCCAGGACCAGGCACAGCTCCTTCAGGTCCAAATTCTCCTTCACCAGCCCGTCCTGCATGCGCTCCAGGTCGGCGAGCTTTTTCAAGTACCCGCCCAGATCCTCCCGCATCACTTTGGCCGCGTGGTGACCGAATAGTTGCCATTCCCTGGCCAGCTTCTTCACTTTGAGCCGGTCGTCGTCCAGGAAGCAGCACAGGTCCCGCAGCTCCACGTTTTCCTCCTGCAGACGCTGATTGATGACTTTCAGTTCCCTGATTTCGAGGAGGTGTCCCTGTAGTTGTTTATTTACCTCTTTTATCAGCCGTCCTCGCTGGATGAGGGCTGATATTTTCTCTGATTCCTCTTTACGCAGCCGGCTCACCAGCTCCTCTTTGGAGCACGCCAGCAAATCCTCGTCAGACATTTTTGACAGTTCTCTACTATTTATTATTTCACCTTCGTTACTCATTTTCTATTAAAACCTAACACCTACAGGGTACCTGAGAATATTTTTTATAAACGGCGAGGTGTCGATACTTCAATGCCCAACACAGAGTCGTCACATCCTCGTCTTCATCTTTATTCAGTCTCTGCCAGATGTCATGTATGCAATCACCACAACACCGGAGGCCAAATCAAGGCAGAAACATGTGATATCTTTATTTAGATGGCTTTCTTCAAGGCCCTGCGACTTCAGTCCCACAGCAGATCTTATGCTGAAGTCAATGTCTGTTCTCTGTGGATAATGCCTTAATGAGGTCGTGTGTGAAAATGCACCGCAAACCCTAATTAATGTCAATCTGTCATCCTCTCAACAGAAGGCTGTGTTCTCCAAAGGCCTCCAGGAATACAACTGTCCTTATTTTACCTCTTCTCGCAGTATTTTGAAGGCAACAGTCGCCCCGTGGGCTTTTCTGTACTGTCTGTATAAAGGCCCGGTCGATCCACGGAGGCTTAATCCAGCAGCCTCGGATGCACACCCCGCAGATGTTGTGATTTTTACGGCGCTGGCATCGTCTCATCAGGCTGTGCTCCACTCGCCTCGGCTGAATGAACTCACTTCCCCGATGGCTGGAGGAAGTGTCCGTACGGTGCAGAGGCTTATTATTAATATTATTTTACAAACGATTAATTAGGCTTGCCGTATAAAAACAAAAATGAATCACAATCCAGTGTCGCCCATTATCCGCTCATAATAAATGCACCATCTTTGCTCATCCTCTGGAGCTGGACTGTTACCACAACAATGTCCGCCTCCACCACTTTCACGGCTGTGACTCCGCTAAGCAGCGAGCTGCGTGTCAAGCTGAAGCACTGACGGAAAACAATCTCTGCAACCTTCAAAATAAAGGCACCGACTTGTGAACTCTTAATGAGATAAGTGAGAAAATATTGCAAAATAAAATTTGGGAACGAATTAAACTACGAAATACATTTCTTACTTATCGCAGCATTTACTTTCATTGATGGCGTGTTACTCTTGTTTCAATCCGATCATGTTCCTCAACAACGTTGGTTTTATTTTGTGTGATTCTTCCGGAAGTTGTAATTATTACGATGACCGCTATTTTGACACGTCGGTTAGATGGTAATCAGAAATATTTGTGGTTTCCTCGGAGGTTTCCAGTGGCTTTTCGACACACCATACTTATGGCATGGTCGTGAATGGCAAAATAGAATCGAGCAGCTCTGTGATCTTACTCTGGCCATCACAGTTACATTATGAAAAACAGCAAGATGTGAGGATGAAGATCTGTTACATGCGATCGCCCAGTTAAGAACTTGTGCGCCCCCATTTGGATTAAAAATCATATTTATTTATTTTTCTTACCTCTATGATACTCTGAAATCGAAACAACGCGGATAAGCACAATTTACAAAGGAAATGAGTAGGAAATGCCTATGTGAAGCCACTTCCTGTTGGATTTTCTGTTGATAGGATCTCAAAAACTAAAGACATGGGCTATAACCAGATAACCAGACCCCAGATCTTTGCAAAACACGAGAAACACAACAACGTCCTACATGCCTTTGGAGTTCACCACAGAGAAAGATACAGCATAATGTAGGCCTAGTTGTACCATGAGTGACTCCTGGTTGTAGGCCTATTCGTTTCTTTTCAAAGAACACTGGCGGAAAGTGTGACTGCAGGCTTTTTTCCACGGGTTTATGCTGAGGCATTCAGCCACATCCTTCCGCCCTCTGTCCCACCTCCATTGTTTCACTGAGGCCATAACAATATAGGGTGTTAACCGTGCAAGGGGGAGCCGGGGATGGAATCAGGGTGTCATGTGAGGTTAGAAATGAGTGGTGATGTGCACCGAGAGATCCGACAAAAAGACATGTTGACTGAGTCGTTTTTCCCCCATGTTGTGATTTTGAAGGACACATGCAGAAACACAGAAAGGGAGGGTGAGGGGAGGGATTTACAGGGATTTATTTAGATTAATCGCTGGAGGAAAAGAGAGCAGATTGTGTACACGCAGGCAGCAGGCAAAGCGCGTAGCCACTGATGGGGCCCGGTGCTCTCACAGAATCCTATCTCTGATCTGACACATTTTAAAATAACCAAGAGCAGAGAAATGAAAAGGCAGAGATCAACAATAGGCTACTGCCTGAGGCCACAAGCCTGTTGTAATTTGAGTCCTGACATGATTATCCATTGTCGTTTGATGACTTTCTTACTTCAAATGAATGGGGCGTTTGAGAGATAAGACTTGGATCTACTCAAAGTGATAGATCCCAATTGTGGAGTCTGTTAGTTTTACTAGTAGGCTATAGGCTACCAGTTTTTTGTCACCATCAACCTTTGGTTTTTGGGGTGCACGACGAAGACAGGGGTTCTACAACTTAAACATAAAATTAACATCAATAACAAACAAATATAACTAGAGAACAACCTAAAACAAGCAATCTATCATATTATAAATCATGCTTTCCGTAATAATACAAACTGCTGTCAAAACACTAACCCTAATTAATATCAGATTTTGTTTCACTGAGACCTAAAAAGCACTGTCCTGTACTTTATATGAGATTAATGGTATTGTCTGCATCCGTAAATTCAATCATAAAAGTCACTATTAGGCCACACAGGTTATGTTCAGTTTATCCAATCAGGACCTTTATCCTGAAGGATAAAATAAGCCTAAAAAAGATATTATGAGTAGATTTAATTAAAAATCGCTACTCATTTTGGAATTGTGCCTGGCTGTAGCTACCCAAAAATCGATGCAGGTGACGTCATCTTTAATGGCTCTACTGTAACTATGGCAACTACGAACAAGCCTCAGCCTTACACACAGATACATTTTTGTAACGCGAACGTTCGGTGTTACAATGTAGCGAATAAGAGGCAACAACGATGTAAGAGCAGTGGTGAAAGAAGTACTCGGATTTTTTACTTAAGTAAAAGTAGCAATAATATTCTGTAATAAATTGAATATCTGCATCCAACGTTTTAATAAAGTTTTAAATTATCGACATTGTAATGTATACATGTACCAAAAATCAAAGTACTCATAAGGCACAATTGCCCATTTCCAAATACTATTGGATTATAATTATTGATGCATTAATGTACACAGTGATGTCATCACGTTTATGCTGCAGATGGTAGGTGAGGATTTATAATTACTTTATGTACTGCTAAGTAATAATAATTGTAGTGGAATAAAAAGTACAATACTTGCCACTGACTAATAGTGAAGTATAAAGCAGCAGAAAATAGAAATGCTCAAGTAAAGTACAATCTCCTCAAAACTGTATTTAGGAGCCCAAGCACAGTACTTCAGTAAATGTACTCAGTTATTTTCCACCACCACGTAAAGACGTAGAGCATTTCCTGTGACGCAACAAAACCGGAAGTTCATGTTAGATGACTGCTGTTGTTGACACTGCGGACCCACGGCAGTACAGTGACAACAGCTTTAGTAGATGTTCGTGCTTTGAATACAAACGTTAAAACCTGCGCCAATCTCCCGATTATACCGCCATGTTAAATTGCTCTTAACTGACCGTTTTGTTGTCTGGTTGTCAGTTTAGTCTCCGCTGATAACTTTGCGACGCAGCTAGCACAGGAGGCTAAGTTTCAATGGAGGAAGTTAGCTAATTAGTAAAACATGGATAGTCAATTTAAATTCAGCTAATGTAATTTAACGATATACTTTGCGGGTTTATTTTTGCTTGGTGCTTAAAACTTATTTGAACAACACTCCAAACAAGGTAAAATGTCCCCCATGTCACTGGTTTCTGTGTTTGGCAGGTGATTGTTGAGCTAAACACTTCATGTTAATCACCTCGCGACTCTCTTGCTTCGTTGTCCTCACGCAGATGGCAGTGGAGCTGGATGTGTTCGTGGGAAACACCACCATCATGGATGAGGAGGTTTATCAGCTCTGGCTGGACGGACACACAGGTATGGGTCACACCATAGATTTATGGGGTAGCAACATATCAATCTGTGTATTAAAAAAAAAAGCAGTTGTAAGTATCACAATCCAAATGTTAAGAAACAGTTAACTAAAGCATCAGATTTGGGAAACAAATCGGTAAAAACGAAACCTATAATTACCTGCTCAGTTATTGCAGCATCTACCTCCACATCCTGCACACTAGTAGCAACCAGTGTGAATCATGAAGTTGCAGTAGTCAGTTAGTCCTGCTGTATATTCACCCCACACCAGTAGCTATGTTAGTTCAGGTTATTACATATAATCTCTGAACAGTGCTTGTTCGATTTTTTTCCACCAGTGAATGATGCAGTGAAAGTACGAATGGAGGGGGGAGTGCTGGAGGAATTTGAGGCCAGCGCAGATGTCCTGCTGAGTGACACCATGGACCAGTACAGGACTTTCCAGATGTGTGAGCGTCTGCTGCACAGTCCAGCCAAACTAGCCAACCAGCTCCTGTTTCAGATTCCACCTCATCGACAAGCCATCCTCATAGAGAGGTGCAGTAATGATGTTCTCATTTATTTGCATTGAATTATCTGATGTGTTTCTGGTGTCTGGCTGACAACTTTGGATCAAGGATTTATGTATATTTCTATCTTTTCTTTCTTTGGAATGAGCATCTTTCTTGAACTAGATTATTCTCTTCCCAAGGCAGATGCTATTATGGTATATAATTGTTATTAAACACACTACTTTGTTCTTGTTTGCTGACATTGTAGATGAGAATATATTGTCACAAACTTCCCCTTTTGCCTCTCTGTTTCTTTGTTTAGATACTATGCTTTTGATGATGCATTTGTCCGTGAGGTCCTGGGAAAGAAACTCTCTAAAGGGACCAAGAAAGACTTAGATGATATCAGTGCCAAGACAAGTGTGACACTGAAAAGCTGCAGACGACAAGTAAATACATTCTGTGCTCCACAATGACATATGTATTATATGTATTATCAGTTTTAAAAGTCTGTCGCTGTGTTGATACATTTCACCTCTGAAAATATAATTTTGTTGTGGTTGCTCTGCTTTTCTTCTGTGAATAGCAGGTTTCAACGTTTCAACAAGCCGATTTTCTAACATTTTTCTAGCTTTTTGCACAGTTTATCAGTTGGGTGATGGGGCAGCTGAATGTCTGCAGTACAAGAACTGTGCTGGTTTTATACAAGTCATGTTGTTGTAATTTAAGTAAATCTCCTGCATCATGTGTTTAATTTCAGTTTGACAACTTCAAACGTGTTTTTAAAGTTGTGGAAGAGCTGAAGGGACCCCTGGTGGAGAACATACGTCAGCATTTTCTTCTCTCTGACAAGCTTGCAAGGTAATCATTGAGAGGAGCAGAGTTCAAGCCTTCCAAACTCAGGATAATTTTTTGAAAAATTGTTATTGCTTTAGATCTGTTTTGTTGTGGTTTTGTATTGTTTACTAATTCTGACAGAATATCACATGAAAAGGCTGGTGTTCAGGATATCCAAAACAACTAAGTTCTATCTAATTGTCTTGTCCTGTTTTTTATCTCCTATAATGCTCTGCTTGTTTCAGGGATTATGCCGCCATTGTTTTCTTTGCCAACAATCGCTTTGAGACGGGGAAAAGAAAGCTACAATATCTCACTTTCCAGGACTTTGCTTTCTGTGCTGGGCTGCTTATCAACAACTGGACCGTTGGGGCCGTTGGTGAGTGATTTCTTCTGTTTTCTTTGGCCATTTTGCTGACATTCAATGTGAGACGCACGTATACCATTTTTTAACAGTTATGTAACACATTAATCTTATTGAGCTGTTTCAATGTGTCTTAGTTTGAGGGTTGCAGAGCAATAAAACATTAGTGGTAAATCTGAGAAGAACAAAAGACATTTTGAAAGGGCTTCAGGTAAATATAGCACTTGAGAACAAGAGGTATGCTGTATATGCTGGTTAAGTATTACGAATAAGGAACATTTTTTAGAGCAGTGCCTCTGTCAGTGAGGCCCACTGACCACCAGAGGTCCTGCAGGTTTTGCTGGTCCTCATTAAAATAAGGGTGAATTTTAAATTTGTAAGTTACCAATGAAGAAAGTGAGAAAGAGAAACCAGATTAGGCAGAGTCTGAGTAATGATGTAATTGAATAATTGTAAGAAAAAGAGTATGTACTCATAATAGTCACAAGAAAAAAAAAACATCCTTTAAGTTGATTTGACAGTGTCTGACTTTCTGAGTTTTCTTTGTAGATAACATGGTGGAAGACATGGACGTCGATCTTGATAAAGAGTTTTTACAAGAGTTGAAGGAGCTGAAGATTTTAATAACGGACAAAGATCTGCTGGATCAACACAAAAGGTAACACAAACACACAAAAAGATCTACACTTTTTTGCTGACTACAAAAAATGTGCCATTCTTCTAACATGTTTTTATCCACAGTCTCTTTTTAATTTCTAACTCCACTGTTTCTGTTCAGTCTGGTCTGTACAGCTCTCAGAGGAAAGACTAAAGCTTTTAATGAGATGGAGGCTAATTTCAAGGTGAGAAACATTACACCTTCATCATGTCCTAAATATAATCAGTTCGTCACCTCTGCAATGAAAGAGATGATAGTTTTTTTGAATCTTAATCTCTTTTTCTTTTTTTTCTTTTTGTAGAATCTTTCCAGAGGCCTTGTCAACATTGCTGCAAAGTTAACTAACACAAAAGATGTCAGAGATTTCTTCATTGATCTTGTGGAGAAGGTTTGTGCTTTATCAAAATGCAGTCTCTTTTTTCTCAAGTGTTGTAAGCAAAGACAGACCATCCGGCCCAGATTTTTCTTAGGCCTGTGCCAACTTTAAAGTCTGCTTTTGAGACGGTGTGATGTAACGTCTCCTCCCCTCCTTTTCTCCTCCAGTTTATTGAGCCGTGCCGTTCAGACCGATGGACAGCTGCGGACATGAGACTCTACCTCACTCACTACACCAACTCTGCACACATACTTGACACATTCAAGTGAGTTAATGTGCTTTTATTCTGTAAAATCTATCAGGCAGAGCATGGCACCAACCCTGCCAGGGTAATCAATTCCCAAGGGGGCGACCAAAGCTGAAAATACAGTCATGATTTTGTAGAGAGCTTTGGAGAACTTACCAATAACCGAATAAGGGTATGCATTTTGGCAGTCATTAAACACTGCTCAAGCATAAAGTTGGTATGTTAAAATCCTCTAATATTGACGTTCTACCAGTGGGTGTCACCCTATCTAGCCCTGATTTCTTAAACTGTAGTTACCTTGTTTCTCATGCAAACACTCAGGAATGTAGTTAAGGGTTTACACAGGCCTGCACCACTACATGCTTAACAAAGAGATATTCATAAAAAGAAATGTTGACCCCCCCACCCTCACCATTACACCGAGCGGACAAAGATTGCCACATTTACTCTCTTCACCCAGATTTCACAATTACAGTTTGTCACGAGACTTACAGTACCTCTTTGCTCCATTTATTTACAGTGTACTCTCTTTCTCTCTCTGTTTTCTGCCCCTCAGACACCAGGTTGTGTGGGACAGATACATGGGTGTCATCAAAAGCTGTATCTTCAAAATGTATCATGACTGAAGTGTGTTTCGTTGCGGCTCACCGCTCTCTTCTCCCAACTCCTCCTCTGGTTTGTTTTCCCCCTGCTGAAGCCGTTATCTTAGCCCTTTGGTTTGTGCTTTCTTTGTTTGCTGATGAATTTTTCTTCTCGAGTTCCATTATTGCTCCCCATTTACTCCCCTAGTTTCCACACATTGTCTGTAAATTTGGTTTGTAAATAAAATTAACATATTTACATCAAAATGTCATTTTGTTTTATGTTATCATTTTATCTACTGTGTTATATGGAAGTTATATTCCAGAGACAGGATTTACTGATCTTGTGAGTGTTGGATGGAGATTAGAGACAGACAAAGAGAGGGAGAGATAAATCGCAAAAGTGAAGATGGAAGATTTGTCAGCAGTATGCATCCAGTAGGCAGTGGAAAGTGTATTAGTGTTTTAGATATAAAATGTGATCAGCAGATTGCGTGTGTCATGAATTGACAGCTCTGCCAGTGTTTGGGGTGTCTGTGTGTGGCCATTGGAATAAGAGACCAGCCAGGGGGGCACAGTTGGTCCATTTAGGGGGTTGTCAGTGTGACTTTTAACAACATCCCTTGTATTGACAGCTGCCATCTCTACCACCACCCAGAAACACAGGACAGATAAACAATCAGAACCTAAGTAAAGGTCTTTAAACCTACACACTGGAGGTTTACTTTAAAAGAGCTGGATGAATATAAGTAAATACAGTAATGGCTCCCATAATTTAAAAAATGCCGTGATTGTGCTTACTAAAAATATAAAGATTAGTATGTCTATTAAAAAATATTTGGTTATAAACTTTAATGTGGGCAATCATTTTGTAATGGGTGTTACATTTCTTATGTGTCTTGGAAAGACGCCTGCAATTATACTAATGTTGATGCTGCTCATTTAATTTTGAAAGGGATTTTATTTTGTGGGAAGCACAGGGGTGACCTTTAAGTTTGACTTTAATTTGAGTCAAGACTAACATGACTAATGTGGGTTAAGCAACATCTTAAACAGTTTGCAACATAACAGACAGCAACTTTTGCAAGAAAAAAAATTACTGCCGGAAATGATTCCAAGTGCAGTAATGTATTAGTCATATGCAAACACAGAGCAGCAAAGTTAGAACATTGGTTTGGAATAATTATAGCAGTTTATTTTCAGTATTTTATCCCAAAAGCGCCACCCGTTTATTCTGTGAAATAAGCTGACAAATTTTCCGAGTAGGTCTCCACACACTCTCTCTCCTCTCCACTCTCTAATTTTTGTCCACATTCCATTAACTTCTCTCTCCCTGGCTATAAATATCCTGCATGTCAGATTGGACGAGAGCAAGGGCTTTAGACGCTTTATGGAAAAAAAAAAAAAAAAAAAGAGGACAAGATGGGGGAGGTAAGTATAGATAGATGGGGGGTAAATGGGAAAAGGGAGGGAGGAAAGGGTGGGAGAGCTTGGGGCTTTTGCAGGGGTTTAGTTTAAATGAAACCAGGTGTGTTGTGGGACTCGTAAGAGGGGCATTGGTTAGGAAGATGGGGGGGCATATGTGTGTGAATCTGTGAGTTGTTGTTCCGCCTGCGATTTGGACGGATTTGGAATTTTGGAATTTGGGCCGCAGACCAGGAATTTGCATCCTGGGGGGTCAGGGAGAGGGGGTTTGGAGAGTGGAGGATGGCAGTGCAGGGGGCCAGAGGGGGGGTAAGAATGGGCTGTCTCTCTCTCACTCTCTCTCTCCTCTCCGTCTCTTGCTCTCGCTCTCTCTCTCTCTCTCCCTCCCTTTGCATGTGTTCAGCTGCTCCAGCTGTCGGTCTCCCCACTCACTCTCTCAGGGTCATACAGGCAGGAGTTTAAGGGACCACTTCTGTACGCCAACTCAGCCGGGACGACAGCAGCCAGCAGAAGGACACACTGGTCAGAGGGAGACTGGGAGACAGAAGAGCCACCGGAAAAGATTCCTCCGTGAGTTTTCCTGTGTTCTTTTAATGTCTTATACAAACGTGAGACAAGATTTGTATCAAACAGTGAACTGGCGGACGACTTATCATGTTTGCGAGAGTTGTAGGGAGAAGAAACGGAGGTGAGATGTACCTCTTACCCACTTTTCTGGTACAGGCCATACACGTCACAGTTGCACCGCTGCTCTGCTGTCTGCTCTGCTGTCTGCTGTCTGCTCTGCTCTCCCAGCTACACTTGGCTCCTCACAAGAGTCAAGATAATGTGGCACACAGTCTGTGTAGTTCGCTTCTTGGCTCTGTGTTTGAGACTGTAATAGGGGGGTAGACAGGAAGAGAGGCAATGAGTCACACGGCATGTATTATTGTACAGTATATTGCAAAATTCCTCCACCTCATCCCTCTTGTACAACTTTTAAAGTCAGTGTCACGATCTCAGTTTTCTTAGTCATTCAGTGGAAACGAGAGTAAGATAATAAGTTCTAAGTTGAATTTTCTGAAAGAAAGCAGCCATTTCTGTTGAACAAGAGGAACAGGTGCCAGCATCCAACACACACAGAAACAATCTTAAAACCTGGATGACATCTCAGGCAGTGTAGCATGCTGCCTTACGACTGTTTGACAGTGTATTTTATCACAGTTTATACAGTTACTCCTAATAGCTAACACGTGACAGCTCCACCACTTCTGTAATGACTCAAGTGGGATATTAAAGGCAACAGGAAGGAGCTCAGTTCCCCTAAGCCCATCACCTCATGCTACTTTGTCTGCATATACTGATACATCCCAGCCCTTTACCAGTCTTTCCAGAGGGAGTCGCAGCAGCATGGACACTGGGATTTGTTAGTTACAGTGTGTGAATTTCTCCTGCCGGTCGCTATCCATCACTAACTGTGGAGATTCTCAGAGCAGCAGTTACCCTGTGTGTGAGACGGAGACTCCCTGATTGTGAAGGTTCACTGCCACAATGGTAACAGAGCACAGCTGGAGTGTGCTGGGCCACCATGTTCTCAGGCTGCTCCACGCACAACCGAGCATAACAACACAAAGCTAGCTATGTATACACTACAAGACATGACCATCCTTCTGTGTGTGTGTGTGTGTGTGTGTGTGTGTAAGTGTGTGTGGTCCAACTGTGTGTTTTTCCTGGTCTCTATGTGGTCACTGTTATAAGCCCCCTGACATTTTGCTTGTTAAACTGTGCTGACTGTGTGAATTTAAAAATGGGTCAGCCTTCTGTTACTGAGGCCAAGACAACCTCCAAATGGCAATTATATTCGATTGGAATTATTTTATCATGAGATGTAATGTGAATAAAGCCCACAACAGGTGTCGTGCAGTAGCAGCAGCGTTAGCGAGGTGGTGTTACAGTGAACCTGTGTCTCTGTCAGCGGTCGTCCAAACCCACACGGTGAACTTCTGCACCACGGCCACATTCTTTGACATCCTCCTACACAATGAGGAGAGATGAGAGGTTGGGGGAGCAGTAGCTGGAGATCTGGCACCAGCTGTCTTATGTGAACCATGGGGGGTTTCCCAGAACCTGATACTCTGGGAACCACTGCCGTGGCAGGGCATCCCAGCTGAGAACTGGCGCCCGCATCCTTGCCGCGGGCATTCCAGAGGTCCACCGCCACTTGATCTCCAGCGGCAGCAGGGCAACACCCATGCATCCCTGCTGCCCAGACTCAGTAGCCAGTGAGTGACTGGACCCTGGACTGATGGTCAGTTTGTTTTTGGGTGGTTTTGGGTCGCATTCTTACTGGTTGTAAGTGGCTGCTCGGCCAGTTCATAGAGGTCACGTACTGCAGTAGTCAGATTGCACAGTGGTATGTGTTACCGTCTGTGCTTACAGGGTGAAGGCATGTTTTGCTGCTTTTCACCACACAATGGTCGCAAATGGCACGTGATGTCATCCACTGGGCATTTGCGGGTGTCCACGTCACCCTGCGGACTTCTATTTGTTTCAACGAGAAATACAACAATAAGCAGTGCCTGTAAATGTGGCCTCTGGAGTTTATATCAGAGCGTGTGTCTATGCACGTAGACAGGCAGTGATTACAACTTTCCTGTCATGTAGTTTAACTAGAGCTCCCTGACTTTGCAAACATCACTCGCTTAGAATATATTTTTTTATTCCTTCACTTGGCCTGTTTTTTTCTGGGTCTTTTTGTCTATGGGAGCTGGAATAAGTGATTTGTTTACGCTAAGACTCAGCTGAAACACTTATAGCTTCTCTCCAGGAACATTAACTGAGGGATGGTTGTGTCTCTGCTGGGAGAAAAGCCAAGTCCTTCAGAGCACAGAGCAAATACACATACATAATACACTATAAATCTACCTCAAAAATACACTACACTCTACAGAACATTGCAGAAAAGACCAGTGGTGGTGGAAGGACTCAGACCTTTAAGCAAAAGTAGCAATGCCTCAATTTCAAAATATTCGGTCCTGCCTTTAAAATTCTGCTCAGTAAAAGTACATTAGTCAAAATGTACTTAAATTATTCAAATTAAAAGTACTTTTTATGCCTAATGTCCTCTTTCTGACTGTTAAATTATCCAGATCCCAGGGTCCTGAGAGATTAGGATATTTTAGTCTCATGCGTACAAGAAAATATTTTGGGTTGCACAAATTACGATTTGAATACTACTTTTTCTTTTATTAGTTTTGTTGCAGGACTTCATGTAAATACCAGCTTAGCTTTACTGAGCAGCATAACTGGAAACACCTCTGTGGGAATGCAGGGCCTTTAATCTATAATAATACATCATATTTAATAAGTGAATCATATGTTTTATTTGTAAAAATCAAAGTAACTAATAACTTTAGCTGTTTAAAGTACCATAAATGGAAGCACTCGATTAAAGTATCTAAAATTGTACTTGAGTAAATGTATTTAGTGACGTTCCACCACTGACAAAGGCTGATGCCCTCTTACATTACAGGGAGACAACACAGACTCTACGGAGAAGGAGATTCCCTTTCACAGAGACAAATTAACTTGAAGTTTATCACAGAAACTGAGCAAGAGATGCTGTTGGGAAATATGCAGGGAATCGCCAGGATTTATGAGCTCCCACCGACGCTGCTCTCATACACAGTAAACCGAACCTGTGGAGGCAGCGCTGCAGCGAGACTATCATTCCACTGAGTTGTAGTTGTGCCAGTCTGCAGACACAGAGGGCTTTCTGTGAGCAGCTAATATGAAAGTATTTCTGTGATGTTGACTTTGTTATTTTCAGCTGAAGGATGGAGTACGTCACAGTGTTTATGTTTTTACCTGGCAGACTGATTTATTCCATTTATTCTTGCTGCGATCAAGGGGGAACTGTTTGGTTGACAAACAGTGAACCAAGGCCAAGAACCTAACTGTTTGTGTTTTGACTGACTACTTAAAAATTGACTGAGTTGATTTATCCATTTCAGCTGTGGGAACAGCTTACAGCGCCCGTGTGTTTTGAGACTGAATCGAACCATTTTGTGATTTCTAATGTAGTCTATTTTTGTCTTTTTCCACCTCTCTTTCTCTCTGTGTCTCTCTGAAATACAGATACCACCTCCTGGCTGCTCTGTACATCACAAAGTCTCTTCTTCAAGGCACTGCTACCTGTCTGATAGTCGTGTGAGCGTGTGTGTGCGTGTGTGTGTGCGTGTGTTTGTTTGTGTGCATGTTGTACGTGTGTTCCTGTCCCGTCTCCCACCAATTAATGCATTAGTATGCAGGGTGTTTGTGTGTCAAACTTGTGCGTGTGCATATGTGTGTCTGTGCTCCTCCGCAGTGCTATTTCACAGCCACCTACAGAAAGTGACACCTACACGGTAAGGATGGATGAATCTCTCTCCTTCCTCCTCTTCTCCTCTCTTACTCCTTTCTTTTTCTTTGCATCTTCTCTTTTATTAGATATCACACCTGTCAGGTGATGTTACATCTTTTTTTGTGTTGAAATGTTGTCCTCAAATCCTCTTTATTACCTCTTCTTCTCCTTTAATATTCCACAGCCATTTTCCACCACTTCCAACATTTTATAGTAGTCCTAACTGGGGGTAATTTTAGTTTTAATTCCATGTTTCTTTAGGCCTCACTTTTTCTTTCCATGCTGCTCACAGCAATATACTTTCTTCCCAGAATGATAATGACCCTTTTTCCAAACTGTGGCCTCCCAGTCTTTGTTTTTGAAGTGACATTTGGCTTGAGGAAAATAGTTTAAAATGTCATACTTCCTTTAACAGCAGCAGACTTCTTGTCTTTTTGGCCCAGCGCTCCTACATGAATACAGAGGAAACGAGTTTCTCTCTTTTTTTATGTCCCACTACTGGGGAATTTATTATGTATTATGAATATATTATGCAACTTTTTCTCAGAGGGACTATTCACATCTTTCTTTCCACCATTTTCTCACACTCCTCTTCTCTCTGCTTTTTGTAGGAATGCACAGATGGGTATCACTGGGACCCTCAGACTGAGCACTGCAAAGGTAAAGCTCTCTTTTACCTGCGGTTATTGCACCTCAATGCCCAATTCTTTTGTACAGTAACAGCTTTGGTTTTCTTCTTCTTCTCCAAGGCCTGTCCTGTCTTTTTGATTGATTTCAGTAATTAAATATCTGTCTCTGCATCTCCTGTCAGACATAAACGAGTGTGAGACCATTCCAGATGCCTGCAAAGGGGAAATGAAGTGTTTCAACCACTATGGAGGGTACCTGTGCCTCCCTCGCTCTGCGGCAGTCATCCCAGCTCCAGAGCCCCAAATCACGCCCACCGAGCCCTTTAACCCCTGCCCTCTGGGCTACGAGCCGCAGGGAGACAGCTGTGTGGGTGGGTGTCTGGTTTGTAGGTCTGGGGGTTAGGGGTGGACAGGTGGCAACAGGATGAGTGATCATTAAGCATGTTTGTGTGTGTGTGTGATTGTGTAAATTTATTGTCGACGGCCACAGATTGTGAGGGACAGGTGGCCATAGCAGGTGTTGTGACTGGAGGCAGCGTGTTGCTGCAATCTGTGTGGGTGTGAGTTAGTATGAGTCCACGGGGGGGCAGACAGACAGTGTAGGAATGTGGAAGATTTCACACGAGGACAGCTGCTGTGTTTTAAGAACCGAGAAACCTTCTTGTGCCGGAGGACGGCGAGGCGGTCATCAGGGTCTGCATGAGACAGCAAATATGACTCAACATGATGTGTTACTCTCAGCTGTCGGGTGCAAACGAGGGGAGCAGAACGGCCACTGTCTGCCCTCTAACAATCACAGTCTATCGGTCAGTCAGGCTGAATGATGCTGTGTTTGCTCACAATAACTACAGCTGTGATATGTGTGCCCCTGTTTCACTTCACCCACAAACACAGATGTCGATGAGTGTGAGCGAGATGAACATGACTGCCAGCCCAGCCAGCAGTGTATCAACACCCTGGGTGCCTTCACCTGCCAGTGTCCGGATGGTTACCGCAAGGTTGGCACAGAGTGTATTGGTGAGATAATGTGAATTTATCCTTCCACTAGTGTAGCGAAGTAGGTTTAAATATGGAAACTCAGAGAAATGTTTCACTGCAAGGCCTGTGGTGAAGTTAGTTATAGCTGCATGGTTGAGCCAAATAACCTCTTTTTTCTCTGTGTCAGACATCGACGAGTGCAGGTACAGATACTGCCAACATCGCTGTGTCAACGTCCCCGGTTCCTTCTCCTGTCAGTGTGAACCTGGTTTCCAGCTGGCAGGAAACAACCGCTCTTGCATTGGTGAGTGATGCAACCAATAACGGAAGAAGTATTAAGATCATTTAGGACACTCTTTTCTCTCAATCATCTCTTTATAGTGAAAGTTATTTCATTTTAATATTTTATTCCTATATGTACTATCTTACAAAGATCTTCGTCAGACTTGGTCATGTGCCTGAGGAAAAAATGAAAGCCCTCTGAAAATCTGTAACATTAAATATTCATGGCTGAATTAATCTGCTTAATTAGTTGTGGTTTGATCACATTTGATTGACAGTGGCCTGGCAACAGTAACAACAACCCTACAACTGTCATTACATATTGATTTATAATTTATAAATTCTAATTGGTGCAGGCCTAAAGGGTGTGACAACACCTCACTTTAAAACCAGTGAGAAAAACAGCATTGATAGAAATCCCTTGGTGAAACCAGAAGTGTTTCAACTCTGGCAGTAAAATAGTTCATGTTGGACCGGTTCATTTGTAGTAATAATCTGACTGAGGAAATGTGTTTTCAGGGACTTTAAATTTATTTGGAGCTTTAATTCTGATTTCTTTCTGAGTTTTTGATCCAGAACCTATAAAAGGTTTTGGAATGTGTTTCGCTTTCCAGTCTGTTGTCCCACAAAAATTATGACGACTTTATACAACATTTAAATGTTACCTCTACAGTGTACAATAAAATCTCCATTACCTCCGTTCAGATGTGAATGAATGTGACATGGGTGCCCCCTGCTCTCAGAGGTGTTACAACACATATGGCACCTTCCTCTGTCGCTGTGACCAGGGCTACGAGCTGGGGCCTGATGGCTTTGCTTGTAACGGTAAGAGACCCTCCCTGTCTGTCTTTCTGTGTAAATCTGTCTTTGATGGTGAACAGTTAATAAAACCTGAACTTGCAACTTGACAGACATCGATGAGTGCAGCTACTCCAGTTACCTATGCCAGTACCAGTGTGTCAATGAGCCAGGCAAGTTCTCCTGCGTGTGCCCTGAAGGATATCAGCTGCTGGGAACCAGACTATGTCAGGGTAAGCACACCTGCCCCCATTTCCTCTCAAAACTAACACCTTCCTCTCTGTGAGTCAATACTAATTCATTCTTTGACAGCAACTCTGTTCCTGTACACTTGTTCTGTTCGGTCAAACATCACAAGCTGTCTTTCCTCTGCAGATATAAACGAATGTGAAACAGGTGAACATCAGTGTACTGAGTCTCAGACGTGTGTGAATATCCACGGAGGATACCAGTGTGTGGACACCAACCGATGCCAAGAACCATACATCCAGGTGTCTGAAAAGTGAGTGACACCTCATGAAAGCTTGAGTGTGCCCATACACAAACACACACTTTCACACACCTTTTCCCAATTACTCAAATATGTGCTGGCCCTCGACTGAGAATATAATCAGCCCCTGTATTGAGTATGGCGCAAAGTGCAAGATTACCCCAATTACTTTTTCCACATATGAGTCCAACTTTGCAACCTTTTCTTTTGAACACGGTCCAGTGCAATAAGAAAACTATTACAGTTGTGAACAAGTGTTGGATTGGTAACAGGTGTGGGTCACTATTAACATATCCCTGAAGATTTGTTAGTATAAAATTCATTTTAGAAAAACATGAGGGAAAAAATGGCTACTGTTCAATATTTGTTTAGATTTTAAGAGATCTTTACTCTTAGTCATATTACTCCCTCTGCTGGCTGATTTATGAATTACTGTTGCTGTTTCTGTGCTCCTACTATGGTGGATGGATTTCTGAAGGGGCCAAAAGAGCTCAGGGCCCCTGGGTCAGAGCCTCTGCAGTGGCTTTTAACATTCCTTACTGTAAAGTCATTAAAACAATGTTGCACAATGACTACTAAAAGATGCAAAACGATGGCAGGCACGGACACAGATTCGCCACAAAAACAAGCAAAACTGCAGCTAAACAGATGCAAAATGAGCACAAAGACCCAAATCACTGACCTTTTTTTTTTTTCCTTCCATTGTGTGCGTCCAGCCGCTGTGTGTGTCCTGTCAGCAAGCCCGCCTGTCGAGATCAGCCTTTCTCCATCGTCCACCGCTACATGACCATCACCTCGGAGCGCACCGTCCCCTCCGACATCTTCCAGATTCAAGCCACCAGCGTCTCTCCGGGGGCTTACAACACTTTCCGCATCCGCTCCGGTGATGAGAATGGAGACTTCTACATCAGGGTGAGAACTGTTACAGAGCAGAGCATGATGAAGAGCACGATGTGGCACTGACTTGATTGGTTATTGTTTCAGTTGATCTCTGCAACAGAACCTGTCATCAGACAGTCAGGGTTACATGGATATATTGGGACAGGAAAAATATTTTATTTTAACATTGAACACTTGTCAACAGGGAGTTAGTGAATAGTTAATAGTGTGGCCCAATTATCAACATATTGCAACATATTTTAGATTCAGTATGACTTACACTTTCTGGGGATACAGTTATCTTTGATCTCCATCACAAATAAACGTCAATAAACCTGCTTATAAAATCAGAAACAAAACAGCCTCCTAATCCCTCCAGAATTTACCTGAGACTCAGCAGGGTTTTACTGATTTTACACTGATAATTGTCAGTACAGCCAATATAACATATAACATTATCCAAAAAGCTTTGTAGACAAAAATGTATTTAAATATACTGATATTTAAGCTCATATTCAATATGTGTAGTTAAATTTATATAATATAAGATGGCCAAAGTGAACATTGAAAATTGGGCTGCTTGTATGGTGATTGGGTGTCTGACCTGTTTTCAGTCAAATCTGGCAACACTGCCTTCAAAATGATCATATAGTTGAATCAACACCTCTTTATTGCAGGGCTGTTGTATCAGTTTTGGATAGGTATACCTTGTAAACTGTCCTTTATTTTAAAACAATATTGTTAATAATAATACATGTCACTCATGAAGGGCATTTCTGGATGCTCAAACATGCTTTACATGTATTGTTGGTATAGAAATTCAAAAACTCACCCACACACTGACAGCAGTTCCCTCTGCAGTAGAAATGAACTCAGTTATATATTTTTTTTCTTCTCCAGCAAATCAATAATATCAGTGCGATGCTGGTGCTGGCCCGCGCCGTGTCAGGGCCCAGAGAGTACACGTTGGACCTGGAGATGGTGTCAGTTAACCCTCTGCTGAGCTACCATGGCAGCTCCGCTCTCAGACTCTCCATCTACGTCGGGCCTTACAGCTTTTAAAGAGGAAGAGGAAGAAGAAGTAGAAGAAGTAGAAGAAGAAGAAGAAGAGGACTTGAGGGAAACAGAAAAGATGGAGAGAAAGAGCTGGGGAGAAACATGGATGCAAACAAAGGAAAAAGAAGCTGTAAAAAGAAGTGGTCAATGCAGTTCAACCAATCACTGTGATGTTACACTCTTAACGTTTTGTACTTAGTTGTCCAAAGAAAAGCCACACATTTGTCAGCCCACCATACTGCGTGTAAGAATATACATACAGTACAGTATACAAATACATGTAGCAGTAAAGTCTCACAGATAAACAGCAGCCTTACAATAATTAATCCAGTCAAATTGTTCCTTTGAGTTTAATCTGTCAGTTTTTCTGTTCTCTAGGATGAATCATGTTTAATGTTATTTTGCCTGAAAGCATCATTCTGTGGTCAGTGTGTATCAAAGGGATTTCTTCTCTTCACACGTGTTCAGGGTGATAACAAATCTGTGCCGTCTGCCGTCAGGTGGAGAGATTCACGCCCAGCGTCACTAGATTAATCTGTTTTCACCAGTTTACATCCTTATTTTCAGTTCCACTCTGTTTGTCACTTTATTCTTGTCAGCCCTGTTTCCTGTTGACAGACGTGATTCAGCAACCACTCAGATCAGACCTCAGCATCCACTCTCCTCCTTCACCCTCCACTGTTCATTCCTATGTTCGAGCTCTCTGTAACTGCCATTTGTCGGATTGTCACGTTGCTGATCGTGTTGTACTTTGTTTTTTTTTTTTGTTTATTTTGTTTGTCAAAGATTTGAACCCAAATAAAACAATATACCTTTACATCTCTGCGTCACAGTGAAACTGATCAGTTTCTTTCTTTTTGGTCTTTTTATTCTGAAGCACCATCCCTCTGAAACTTCTAATATTATTTAGCCAAAACATTTTGTTGATCAGTCGATAAACAGACAGACTGCCAACGATTTAACATTTTCTAGTTTCAGCTTCTCTGGTGTGAGGATTTGCTGCTTTCCTCTGTTTTATATATTAATGTAACTGAATATCTTTTGATTTTAGACTGTTGATTGCATTCAGAAAGCTTTTTGACTACATCACCTCGGGCTGTGGGAAACTGAAACATGAACATTTTATAGACAAAATGATTAATCGATGATGGAAATAGTCATTAGTTATGGCCCTAATAATCCTTATTGACAAAGTTGGGTGAGTGTTCCTATTTGAAGCCCAGCATTATTGTTACATCATTAGGCCTTGCAGTATCGGGTTGTGTTGTTGCTCTGTACGTACGAGTTTTGTCGCTTGTTCAAGTTTGTTGTCAAGTGTAGGATGGGCTCAAAGTTGCCCCTTGTGGTTGTTGGGGAAAAAACAGCCACTATAACTGCCAAGTACCAGCGTGTGTTTTCCACACTCAGCCTCAGGGGGCAGTAGTGAGGCCATTGTGACTTGGCCCTCCACTATGACGCGAAAACGCCGCACTAGAAAATGTAGTTGGACGAGTGAAACAAAGGTGAGATTTATGCTTTATCAGAAGTGTTTTCAAACTGTATATTTTGTTTTAATAGGAGACTAAAAAGATGAAGACTTGACTGGCAGGTTTTGCAGATATATGTCTGGTTAACTGCCTCATGTCAGCTGCTGCCCTGATCTCTTCCAGACGATCATCCAGGACTGTCCTCTGAGTCCTGAACGGGGCTAACTAAACCATCATACTGAATCCTCTGACAGGCTCTGACACCCTTTTTCTAATGTGCCTTTAAATCTTTTCTAATGTGCCTTTAAAACTTTAACGCAAACAAAGGTTTGTCCTGGCCTTAGAGCTACACCGTATTTATTCAGGCAAATAGCCGGCGCCTGGCTTGACTGGCAGCCACGGCTCACTCAGTAGTCGCAGCCATCATCCCTGCTTGTCCAGCTCCACTAGTCTTAAAATAGCCACCAGTTGTACAAGAAATGTTTCTACATCAATCTCTGACGAACTGCAACTTTAAACTGTGCTTTATCTAGTTTCACTGTATTACCAATATCCACAAGTAAGTAGCCACACTGGTATGAGGAGTTTTAAGGAAAGAACCTGGTTTTAATATGAAGCGTGTGTCTATGTAAGAGTGCAGGCAAGTCTATAGGGTCATCAGGTGGGCACCCTATCAATAATTCACTGAGCTGGGCCCACGACACAGAGGAGGGTCACCAGTGTGTTCAAATATCCCAGAACTACCTCCCTCTTTACCTGCACCCACACACTCAACAAGATATATTCACTTCTGTCTAAACATCACCAGCTAACAGCTAACATCCTCGTGACTTCTGTCCTGTCCTAAACAAGATCCATGCTAAAATACTCTCCAGTCATAGAGAAAAGACAGGAAATATCAGCACTCTCCCATCTTCGCACATGATCTAAAAATGTTTGATTTCTGTGTGAGGAAGAAGGGGATTAGATCTTGTATCCACTTCCTAACATCCTTAAATCAGGAGGAAAGGCAGCAAATGGCTGCAGTGTAAACTGAACAGGAATGAAGCTCTGCAGCCTTCTGTTCTATTTTTACTGTCACAGCACTTCACTTGTGTGTTAACTGATTCTACTGACCCACACAAAAAAGAAAAAAAAAAACTAAGGAAAAAGAGAGAGACGGAGAAAAAAGAGAGAGGGGAAAGCCCTTATTTTACAGTCCACTGCTGTCTGCTCCGCCCAGTCCCACACACAAACACACACAAACACACCACACACACCTCCCATCTGTCCTCACTGGGGGGGCGGGGGGGTGATGACTCACACACACAGCGCTGTTTTATGTAACTGGAGCAGACAACGTTCGGCCACCAGGGGGCAGCAGACCACACAGATCTCCTCTCACAGCAGCAGTCCAGGAATAGCAACAACCTGAGGAGAGAAGGTTGGTTTTATAACCTAAGCGAATAGTGAGCCTACATTTTCGCCCGTTTTCATGAACTCATGCACCTGTGGGAGGAAAAAGTGATGACAACTTTTTCTACCTCTCACAAATAATGTGCAATACAGCGACTGCGACGTACAACTACTTTGAAATATGTTGTAGAATAGATTTTTGTTGTTACATAACTTGGCATCTTGTGATGATGGAGAACAAAGATGACAGAATCTGGTGATAGTGTTAAAGAGTGCAGTATGGTAGGAGGTGTGTGTGTGTGTGTGTGTGTGTGTGTGTATGCGCGCACATTAGGGGAGAGTAGTTTACAGGTCCCCTGGCATTTCCTGTTGGCATCCAGACAGAAAGAATACCTGACTGAAACAGGATGACACTGTCATGGATGGATTACTGAACTGGCCTACCAGGATACAGGGGGCCAAGCAGTCAAGGGGTCCCCTTGCTTCACCTGCAAAATGTGACTGAAACACAAATTGACCACAAAGAGAAGCAAATTGATTTAAATAGACACAAAACAACCAAAATGAGACAAAAAAAAATCACAAAAGACCACAAAGTGACACAAAATTACTGAAAGAAATGTTGCAAATCTATCTATCTATCTATCTATCTATCTATCTATCTATCTATCTATCAAGGACCACAAAAAGATGCAAAATGACAAAAAACAGATGCAAAACAACCAGAATGAGCCGCTAAACAGCAAGAAAGACACAAAACAATCACAAAATAAGTACAAAGAGATGCAAAATGACCATAAAGAGATAAAACATGACTTAAAATAGATATAAAACAACTAAGAATAGACATAAAATTAGTACAAAGAGACGCAAAACGACCACAAACACATGCAAAATAACCACAAAGAGATAAAACATGACTTAAGATAGATGCAAAATGACTAAAAATACATAAAAAACAACTAAAATAGACATAAAACGACCACAAAGAGATTCAAAAAGATGCTAAATTACTAAAAATAGACACAAAACATCCACAAAGAGACGCAAAACGACTACAATGAGATGCAAAACAACTACTGTATCAGCACAGCGGGCCCAGAGGAGAATGTGTAAACGTGTGTGTCTGTAGATGTGTCTGAGTCTTGTAATGTAATTGGAGGAATAAGATAAAGCATTTAAAATGTTTGCATTTGTGCTGTAGGCCTGTGTTTGTACCCAGAATCTGCATGCCTCTGCTCGTGTTTATGTGTCTCTGTGTTTGTGTGTCTTCAGGTTGGTGTGTCTGTGTTCGGAGGGTGTGGGTGTTGACATAGGGGAGCATGTGTTTGAGAGCGGCAGTGCCCACACAGACGAGTGGGAGGAGTGTTTGGGGTGGCAGAGGGGAGTGCTGGAACGCCAGGGCCTCATTTTTTGGCACCTTCGCCCAAGAATGATCTCATATCTGGGCAAGCCGTGCCCTGTAGGCCGCAGTGGGGGATGGCGTGGGACCGGAAGAGGAGAAACGAAAGCTCATGCGGGGCAGAGTCCACCAACAACTCCAGTGCGACGGAACAAACATGGTGGACAGAAGAGACACCTTTCCAGGTTGTCCGGTCCTGTTCTGTCCCTGGGTTTGACACATGCTGCCATGATAGAGGAGCAGTCTGTTCCCCTTTGATCTCCTATTGCATTACAAAAGGCTCATGCTCATGCCCCCCCCCCCCCTCCACTACACCACAATGCAGGTATTATATTTATGAATGAAAGAGCAAGGTGGAGTGTCATTTCCCTCCACCCACGCCCCTCAGCCCCCCCACCACCACACTGAGATTAGTTCATTAATGAAAAGAGCGGGCAGTGGGATCTGTGGGACATCAAAAACAGGCTGCACAATACAAAGAGGGCCCAGTGATCAGGGAGTGTAAATTAGTGAGGGCATTAGGCAGGAAATGGCTCTCTCCTCTGGGAATTTGCATACAGTATATATAGATATATGGAGAGAGAGAGAGAGAGAGATCAGGGGCAGGACAGTTACACAATACCACATAAACAATCACAGAAGTGTCCATTTAAAGAACAACAACAGTGACACATCTGAGGTTTTTTTCAGGTGTTTTTAGAGACAAATTATTACATACAATTTGTGTTTCAAAGTAACTAATCACTAATTTGGTGGTGATCATTTTTCTTTGGATTACTAATAATCTTTTGATCATGAGGTCCTCTTGAACCCAAGTGTTTCCAGTTGTGGGGGTAAGATAGAGGATTAGATCAGCTAATGTGAATATAGATACATACTATATGTGTCCAGATGTTTGTGTTTGTGAAGTGAGGTTGATGTTTATTCTGTTCACTGCCCCAATAACCAATAAATCGTTTTCTGATTTTATTTGTGGATGTAGTTTGTGTTGATTTTGAGCCGCACTTCATTATGTACAGAGGTGGTTCCTACACCCTCATTGATATAAATGGGGTGGACAAAATAATAGACACACCTGTGCATATCACACAATATGATTCAACAGCACCACAAACAGCAGCTCGGTCATAAAATGATCATAAAGTTGAATCTTTGAATCAGTGTCAACAAAAACTGAACACTATAAATGTCATGGAGGTAAGGACGTATTGCAGGACTGTTGCATTAGACTGGTTTCAGCTGGTTGTATCTAATTAACTACCAAGAGCTACTTAACCAGAGCTGAATAAAGGTTGAATATATTTGCAAATGCAATGAGTTTTGATTGGATTTTCTATTATTTAGAAATAAATCCAGTGGGATTTTCTTCTTCTTTTTAATATGAACATTTGTCAGACCAGAAGTGACCTGCACATATCATCCAGGAGCTTACGTGTGAAATGCTCTCTAAATTGTCACCCTGTGATACAACAGCAGTCGTTTCTTGTTAGCTCTGGAAATAATTAGCTTATCAGTCTGGTCCAATTACA